GAACCAGAACTTTCTCGAACCAACGCGGTAATTCCAAATATTTAATTACGCCTAATGCCACCTAGCGGGTAGCTGAAAAAGATAGTACATAGTACCACTACTCGCCACTAGATGTCGTTAAGTGTCACAATACACAATAATAATTGAAATGCAAAAAAAGAGTAAGTTTGCTTAGGTCACGCACTTTGCGACTATCCTACTCTAGAAATATAGTCAAGGGCAGCAATTGGCCCTTGGAACAAACTGAAAAAATCATTATGGCCCGAAGGCTTCAAAGTTTGGAGACCCCTGCAATATAGTATAGCGAAACACGTGTCTTGGTTTTTGTAAAATCAAATTTGCCAAGTTGTTTGAACACTTTCCGTGAAAGTATCTATAGAAGAGAGACAAGAGGAACAAAAAAAAGAAAACATTTTCAAGACACTGTTTTTCTGTTAACCAGTCTCTTACGACAAAGTAGAGACTTGTGTGAGCTAAAGGTTACCGAGGTCTTACATTTTAACGTGCGATTTCAGAAGACGTGCGTATTAAATATGCATCCATTGCCATTTAGGTTTTTATAAAGTTTGGTTCGTGATGAAATCAACTCAGACAGTTTTTATGTTGACTCAATTGAGTGGGAAGATGATATGTCGTCTGACGAAGAGAACGGAAAATCAAGGGAGGAATTTATGAATGCTTCGGAGGGCCGCTAAAGCAATACACGTTTTTGAACATTTAAAATTACCCAAGTATATTCCAAAATCTAATATACAATCATCAGATATTAAATGTTTTCAGTCGTATGCCAAAAATAGGAATTTTACTCGGGAATAAAGTACCATTATATTTCACAATATCGAAAATTGTTATAATGAAAAGTTCTTCGGAATCAACGTTTATGTTTGAATATGCAATTGCATTATTTCATAGTATTCTTTTCGTATAATTAATGAAAAAAGTTTCTCATCTGTTACCAACCTAAGTAGACACACTGTATATGAATCTTGATACACTGTTTTATATCAAGGACATACAAACCACAATTTGTAGCAAACGAGATAAAAAAACACGAGTAGTTATTAATGACAGAGAAGTAACTAGTTATTCAGAAACCTCGATAGAACCTATATATTAATTTTAAATGGCTACTACCTTTTGAACTAGTTTCAATATGTCTAACAGAGGTCGCATCAAAACGAAAAATTTCTTCACATTGGCATCACTGACACAATTTGTATAGTTGAGTCTCGAACCATATTTGGTCTTCACACGCCGCTGTTCTCTAATGTAAACATTGAATGCATCTTGCAAAAAATCATATCAGATAGAAAATATATTAGAAAAAACAATTTCCAGAATATCGTGAGTACCATACTACAAGTAAAATATATACCAAGTGACACAAAAACATTTCAGGTTTATGAAAATGACGAAGGTGATTTTAGAAGTTTGTGTTGATAGTGTCGAATCTGCAGTGGCGGCTGTTGCCGGCGGTGCTGACCGACTCGAGTTGTGCTCTTCTCTGGTAGATGGCGGACTCACTCCTACCCCCGGCTTTTTAATTCAATGTAAAAATTTATTTTGCCAGAAAAACATTTCTTTTTTCTGTCTCATACGATGTCGACCAGGAAATTTTATTTATGACCACAATGAAGTCGAGATTATGAAGGAGGATGCAAAAATATTGAGAAAGCATGGAGCCGATGGCTTTGTTTTTGGAGCATTGTCAGAAAATGGGGATGTGAACATGAAAATATGTCGGGAAATAATCAGAGTGTGCCATCCGCTGCCAGTAACATTCCACAGAGCTTTTGATTTTTGTAAAAGACCCACAATTGAAGTGGAAGTTATTATAGATTTAGGTTTCGAAAGAATTCTCACAAGTGGGAAACAACAAAATGCACAACTGGGAGTCAAACTGATCCAAAAACTAATGGAGCAAGTTGGAAACAGGATCATTATCATGCCAGGTGGAGGTATCACTAAAGACAATGTAAAATACATTTTGGAAAATACAGAAGCTAAAGAAATTCATGGGTCTTTCAAATCCCTTAAGGAAGAAACTGAAACAACTCAATCTGAGGAAGATAAAGTACCGATTGGAGAAAGACAGGGTTCATCTTATGTTACTAGTGAAAGCACTGTTAGTGAAATTGTTGATATTATAAAAAATGTTTAGTTTTCTAATGCATGAGAAACATAAATGTGTTGATGTTGTTTCCATTAAACTATACTAGTAATTTTTTTTAGTAAAAATATTTATTTTGGTGTCTTAAAATTTTCTTCCTATGACCCTAAATATCTTCAATTGATCAAAAATAATAGTAACATATCTGATTTTCAATTACCTATAAGTGCGTTTTGTTGGCACTAACTTCAATCCATATTAATACATTCCCGCCAAAAGTCATACAGTTTGGTTGAATGTAGATTTTTGTAATTTTACACTGATCGAAGGATTAAAGAATACTTATATATTTTAAATACTACATAAATGATTTTATAAGTTTTTGAATAAGTGATAAATCCACTGTCGGATTATCTTGGTCCATTTGACAGATTTTTCTTTATCAATGATTGACCATTGAATGTTGGTTATTTATTAAGTGGTTGTATTATTTATATTTCTGAATATTGCAAGACATCTCCTCCAGTTTCAATAAGTCAGTATGAAAACGCATTGTTCACGTATTATATAGTGACCTGAACTTATTTGATACATTTAATGATTTCTTTTCAATCCATGCCACAATGATATGTCAACTTTACAAATTAGTGTTTCTAGATTTTTTAATTTCCATACTTTCATTTACACCTAATGTTTATGCTGAAACCTTGTAAAACAAACTTTAGGTTCCTAAAAAAGCTGAAACCAAACATGCATTCCTTCCAGCGCCCTCTCACGGTCTTGGCGATGGTGGCACTCATTCTTTTATTTTGAACGTGGAAACTGGAAATCATACACTGTGACCCAATGAAATATTCTAATAGTATTTAAAATGAATATTGAGTTTGTCACTTCTTTTCAAGAGTTAATTTTGATTTCCTATGATTGTCGGAGGAGGATGAAAATCATAGAGGACCCCTAACATTGAAGAATTTCACGAACTAACGATAAACTTCTTTATCATTCTCCACTCCAGTATTAACATGCGTGTTTAATAAAACGATTGAATGTGTGGATGATTGTAGGAAAGGACTTGCATCATTTTTATGAGAATTTGAGTTGAGTACAGTTTTGTGTTCTCGAAGGGTAGGTGGACATTTTGGTGTGGAAAACGATGTATTTCCCATTATAAATGTATTTCTATCAAATAAATGTTTCGAAAGAAGTTGAGTCCATCAGTCCACGATAAATAGAACCAGCTGAAGAGGTCAAGTATTCTGAATTTGGTGAACAGATATAATATACATTACTGTTAGTTTCGAAGTTTACGAAATTTTTACTTGGTTCACGTTACGTTATTGGGTATTATATGATTGTTTCAAGTAATAATCATCATAAGATGGATTAGGTTTCCTCACATTATGTAATTTGTCTGAATAAAAGTTGGGTTTTTCAATCTTACTGCTGTGTGAATCATGCAAGGTAAATTCTTTTCATATATCTTCCTTGATATTCGTCCAAATTAACCTGTTTCAACCTATATAGAATTTAATATTTTTTTAGTCTTTAATTACAAATACTAGTAGGTTCAGATACATATAAACGTTAACGAGGTACCGTTTAACAATGACCTGTTCAAAAATTTCAAATTCATACCAGTCATCTGCCAATTGTCACTCTCACAACAAAATCATAGGTTAGTATTTTGACGGCCACAGAATACATATTTAACTTGCTGCCCCTCCTACGATTAGGTATATTACTGATTTGACAACAGTTCCGTAGTTCTTTTTTCATGTGAACGTCATAGTGTAAGGTAAACGTTGTATATACTTTTCTGACTTTATCAAAGAATACTCTAGTCATCTATTACAACTTGAAAGTTATTTATGAAAATATGTGTGCTAGCAAGAAACTAATAGTTTTATTTTTGTTTTTTTCAGCAAAACACCAAAAATGTCTGATGTCGAAGTGTGAGTACATAACCTCTATATGTTTAATTTTCAATTTTCTCTCAACTGGATTTCATGATGATTTCTTTGGCGGGCTCCCTCTTCTGAGGTTACCCAAATAATAAAATTTTGTGCTGATATGATCGCCATCTGATATTTTAAAGTAACCAATTTTCATTTAAATTTTCTAAGTCACGATTTTTTACGAAATGTGTTTGTTCCAGTGATGATGCACCCTCAGCCCCAGTCCAAACTGGGGGTCCTATGGACGTAAACCAGGCTCTCCAGGAAGTGTTGAAAATTGCTCTGATACACGATGGAGTGATCCATGGTATACATGAGGCTGCTAAAGCTTTAGACAAAAGGCAAGCCGTTTTGTGTGTCCTTGCTGAAAATTGTGATGAAGCTATGTACAAGAGACTTGTGTCGGCACTGTGTGCTGAGCATCAAATCCCGCTCATCAAGGTAGACAACAATAAAAAATTGGGCGAATGGTCAGGACTCTGTAAAATTGACAATACAGGAAAAGCACGTAAGATAGTTGGATGCTCTTGCGTTGTTATCAGGGTGAGTACATATTCTTTCATCAAAATTTAGAATATTTATATCCGTCCTGGAGCTAAAACAAACATCCAACTTTAGGACTCCTGCAGTATAAGTATCTCTACCAATATTATATGACTGTAGAAATCTTGTGTAAAATTAGTGGAAATGTTACTAATTGTATGTTGAATTATTCACAACATTATTAAATATATGTATGGAAAACAGCAGATGAATCTTGAAAACATTTGGGTGACAAACCCGATGTAAAATTCACTACTTGAAGCAAGAAATCAGTAAATCTAATCTATATGAAACTTTTTTGTTCTTCATTGAATTTTTTCAGTTTTCCATATTATGAAAAAATGATTCCTTCTCTATTTTTGATCGTTTTCCTTCACCACTAATAATTCACTATTTTTTGCATAAATTGTCCTAGAGAATATTTGTTTCACTATTTTTTATTTACCACAAAATTGGAATAAAAATGAAAGCTATCTCAGGCATTTATCTTCTCGATCAAAAGATGACAGTGTGTTAAAACAGCTGTTAGCATTGAATCTTAGTGTTGTGTAAATTGTGAAATATTATTTTCACCCCACCAAGTCGATTAAAATTTATTTATACATATTAGACGCTCAATCTGTAGAACACTTATTGGGTGTGTCCGATTATTTCGATGGTAAATTTTCAAACTGAAAACAATCTTGAACAGTCTATTCTTGCAGTGTCTCCCTAGTAGTTTTTAGTGGACCATTTCAAGCATTTTTCCCCTTTTTTTTTTATAATCTGAATTGAAACCCACATGTTTTAATTTCTCATCATGATGATTGTTGGCGGCTCCCTCTTCTGAGGTTACCCAAAACAATGTTTTGTGCTGATATTCGCCATCTGAATGTACCCTGAAGCTATAGCTTTTCATGAAACTTGGTAATTTGTTTGTAATTTTTTTTCAACTTTTTTAGGATTACGGTGAAGAATCGCCAGCCCTAGATGTCCTCAGAGAATACCTTAAGAATGCCAAGTAGTTTGTTAAGTTTGAATAAATAAACAAATACAAAGTGTCGTTAGACTTTTTTTCAACCAACGTGAACAATACACAAAATTAACAAATTACAATAGTTTAGAGACAACATTGTTTCTTATGTTCGCCCCAGTGGTCCGTTTGGCAAATACGGTTGCAGTACCAAGCTTTCTGGCACCGTCCACATCTTTGGATAGCTTCTTTGCCGCATTGAGCACATTTGGCCTGGCTTTTCACTTCAAATTTCTCCAGGAGTTCGGCATTATAAGCATCGCTCAGCCTAAAAAAGTGAGATGTTCTCATGTCATCAATATTTCAGAGATTGTTTTCATTGAGAATGAAAGAATTACAGCTACAGATGGAATAATTAATCGGAAGATTTTCGTAATGTTATACTAATTGCTTAAAGTTATCGTTAAAATATGTATAAACTACTCTAATTTTGGAAATTTTTCTTAGAATACAAGTAGTACATTTAGTAGTGTATAATGATTTGATGGAATCTCTAATTATTATACAAGAAAGCATTTGACTGACGGACGAGGGTATATATGTTGAGATTATTTCCAGAAAAAGTGAACAATACGTTTCTCTTTGAAAATTTTAGTATATATGCAAAATATGAGCAACTATTTATGTACATTTTAATCATAGAATGCTGAATAACCATGTTCATGTCACCTGTTTCACGTCTTTTCAGTAGAATTCTAAAATCTTGCTAACATTTTTTGAAAAGGGGAAGTACTTGTGGTGAACAAATCTTCAACTATCGCATGGAGTATATAACCAGAATTAAATGAACTCATGTTGGCAGTTACCTAAAAAGAAGGGTGAAAGAGTGGTGTGATTCCAATCTTTTATTTATCATTCAACATCGACAAGACAAATGTGGTCACGTTCAGATGTAACATAGGGGAAGTACACTTGGAAAATTAAAAATTTGGAGAAAAACAAATTTTGGTAAATTTTCGTTATGTGGACACCCGGCGATTTTGAAAAAATAACACTTCATTTCAATAATCAACATTTTTCTTATAAAAATGTTAAAAAAATGTACGGAGCTGCTTTTTGGTTACATATCACTGTATTTTACGTTTTTAAGGTTTAGTTGCCCTTTTCTGAACTTTGAAGGGCCGTAACTTTTTAAATAAGGGAGAGCGCCGCTTTTTTCTTTCGGATTCGTAATCTACGCATCAAAATACGTAAGTACAGTCAAACATTTTTTCAAAATCGCCGGGTGTCCACATAACGAAAATTTACCATTTAATCACCTTCCCATTAATTTAAGGTGATTATATAATGAAAAGAAATTCAGAAAGAAAGTAAAAGATTTCTTTGTTGGGAGGTCCTATTATAGTGTGAATAAATTCTACCAAGGCTCTATCAAGCAAGTTATTGAAATCAACACGAAATGGCTATCAATGTTCATTACATAGCATTATATATTTACATTTACTCAATATTCATGTACCTACTTATATTTGTATGGGTTCAGCTGGGCTCAATATTGTTCTGTCCATATACTCTGCTCTTGGCTCTAAGCATTATATTTGCTCTAAGTTTATATTTGTTAATTGTCCAATATACACGATTTAATCAGTTGAGCAACTTACAAAATGAAATGTTATTAGTTTCATTGCTGTTGAACGCATTTCAGTGGGAATTTTAACGTTGTTATGTTGGATATAGACGATTTCCAAAAATGACGTCATTCTCTTCTTAGCGTGAACAGCCTATAATACCTTTGTATATGGTTAGTCTATATACAAAGCTAATACGCTTCAATTAAAAAGTTGGGCCAAACTGATTGGAAATTTTTTCTTATAGATACAGAAAGTGTAATTGAAATCATCCAAAACATGTTACTTTGAAACGAACCAAGTAGTGATCCTTTGGAAATGGACATTCCACTATTTCACATGAGCGTTTTCTAAAACAATATTTTGTTAAATGGAAAACAGTTTCAACTCACTTCGATGCTATATCAAAAAGCAAAGTCTTATCCGTCGTAAACACAACCGGCAGTTGTTTTTCCGCCAACTTCTTCCATTTCCCGCCCGTCTGTCTCAAGATTTTTTCCTTGATCTCCAAGAGGGCTTCGATGAGAAGAGGTTTGGGAGGTGCCGCCGACTGATCGAGAAAGTTAACGCGACACAACCAGTGGTTCAGTTCGATCAAAGGGGAAAGCTGATCTAGGAGGGTGGGTTTCATCAAGGGGAGCAGTTTGGCCAGGTGATTACGACGACTCTCGGTAAGGGGATAGTACTTTGGGCAATCTGGGTCGAGAAGAAGGTGTCTTAGAGTCAGCCAAACCTGCAAAATTTTTAATAAAAGTTGTTTTTTCAAAAAAATTCAAGTATTTCGTACCTGCGCTTCGCTTTGTCCAAGCTGTTCGTTGTCCCAAGCTTTCCAGGACCCTCCTGAATAAACCTTTCCGTTTTTCGCCCACGGTGCGGCCAACATGATCTCCGTGAAAAGGACTGGCACATCATAATCTGCATACATTTTTGAACGCACGTTCAGTGGAAGTCTAAGAAATATTTGAATACCTTTATTTATGTAAAGCTCGTCAAAAAAGCATTTTAATCATATATTTTGTTGCATTGTATTAGGAATCACACGTTAAAAGGTAAGACCTCGTTAGTTCTTAGCTCGCACAAGTTTCTCAACTTCTGAGAGTTGTCGTTCGTATGGGGGCGGCAGCTGATCAACGGAAAAAGAGATTTTAAACAGATTACCACTCTCAGTTGTAATAAATTAGCATTTGGTGTACAAATTTTTCACTTTTGTACAGCTCCTGGAGTTGGGGATGAAATAATAATAATGAATGAACTGTATTAGGAAAGTACGGAGTCAATAAATAGAGTGAAATTGTCAAATATATAAATATTTTTGATCGTTGATATACAATAAAAACGAACTTAAAATTGAACCTTGTGGTGAACAAGTTTCAATTGCCTTCTACTTGTTATATATACAAAAGAGGTCTGAAATGTTTCCGACCTCAACACAGTGAGGCTAAAGTTATAAAGACTATATACACACAGAAAAGCCCGCCGGAGGCGCGAAGAAACAATCTTTAGAGTCGTAGTGGGCTGTAGAGAATCAATCATTCCTCAGAGCCGTAGGGGACTGTGTGGTATGGCAAGTTTGTTAGAAACTCAAGTTTCTAAATGCATAAAATGGATGAATATTTTTATGTTGCACGCTTTGCTTAATACTAATAAAGTTAGGGCATGGGCATGACAATGCGTAAAACGTATTTTAGTTTGTAAACCATTTAAATGGCCGGCCATGACCGCAGCCACATCATAGGTTTGCGCAATTAACTTTTGCCTAAAAATATAGGTATCACACGTACGAATTAAAAAATTAAATAAATCGTCAGCTGTGCGCCCAGATGAAACATCATAAAAACCCATAAAACGTTCTCTACCACATTACCATCTTTGACATATCTAAAAACGATTGAAAGTTGTGATGTATAGGTAATATAGGTAGTTTCATCAATTTCACACGCAAAAAAAGAAACACTTTCAATCTCCTTGCTTATATTTTCCTTAATAATATACACTATAAGCTCATTTTGGATTGTTTTTGAGGTGCCCGAAAAAACGCTACCGTTTAAAAAAGTGCCAAATTGTGAATCATATTTGCCCCATAACATTAAAAGTTCCTTGTAATTGCGGCGATTAATCGAATTTTCGGTTTCATCGTGTCCGCGAAAAGCCAACCCTGGGGAACCCTAATAAATCGTAATATCGATAAGTCTTTTTGAATTCGACCGATTTTACTTAACCTGATTATTAAAAGAAATTATGGCCTCTTTTTGAGCTGTATCTAAAGCTGTTGGTATATTTTGTTTGCTAAACAATTTAAATTTACAAGACGAAAATATATGCTCCTTAGATTTAAAATATCTTTCTGCAGAACGAGGTAAATTTTTTAAATCGAAGAATCCTATTTTAGACCACGTTTGGTATTCGGTTTGTACGGAAAATAAAACACAGGGCCAAAAAAAAAGTGGTTCTCGTTTAATGGAGCCGGTTAACCATTCGCATTTATCGTACCAACTAATATTAAATCCTCGATTTTGTCAATTATCTGACGTTTTAATTGAAATTGAATTTGGTTGAGGCCTTCCCAGAGTTTTAATAATGTAAAATTTATTATCATAAGATAAAGACTTAAAATTATTTGTCAGCAACCAATCGACTATATCGTCAGATTTTTTATTTTGTCCAACTTATCCATAATAAATGAAAAAAAAAAACTTATCGAAAAGTGAAAACCTGAAAACACCTTGTTACACCATTATAAGCCCGAAACAAAAATACAGTCCAAACAGTGGACTGCAAAAGGGGGACACGACTCAAAAATAAAACAAAAACTGTTTTTTTGGCTGAGAAAATGATGGCGCTATTTTTGGGATAGTCACAGAGTTATTTCAAAAGATTATACCTTCAAAACGGAAAAACTATCACAGGGGCATACTAAACATTAATACTTGACAAGCTGAAGGCAGAACTTGCGAAAAAACGATCACATTTGCTGAAAAAGAAAATCCTCTTTCACCAAGATATCGCACACCGTCTCACACCCCAGCGGTGCCATGGCGAAAATCCATGAATTACTGTTTGAACCCGACGGAAAAACAACAACTAACGCAGCTAATGCCGCGCAGAAAGCTGAAGTAAAATCATGATGCGTCTGAGTTCCATTTGGAAGATTCGTCGCATTCCGAGGTAGGAGTCAGTATGAATAAACATATTCTCCAGAAAGATACATATGATATGCTCAAGTACAAGTGAAAACATCTCACCCTTGCCGCTCATGTGAACCTATGACTTTGTAGGTACGTGTGGCAGTTATCCGATGGAAGAACAACGACTAACCCAGCTGATTCCGCGCAGAAAACTGAAAAACCATTCGGCAACTGTGCAATATCTTCTTTATGGCGGATTATCCCGAATATCCAAAAATACATACTTGTAGCAGAGCTATCTACTATTTTAAATTTGGTTCGCGATGTATAGAATATATATGACAAAATAACCAACGATTTTACGAGATGATCCTTCTTTTTAAACTTATATTGAAGGTGGCAAAACTTTAAGGGAAATATCATTTTCAACAAAATAGGCTTACCCTTCCAAATTCTCGGCGATGTATCTCACAATCGACAGCGAACGTATTCCAATATCAAACGTAAGACTATTTTTCTGTCTGTTGATTTCATCAACCGGCGCCTCTTGGTTGTTAGGTTCGGTTAACTTAACCGACAGAAGCTGAGATACGTTTCCGGTTACATACTCTAAAAGATCACCAGACGTGTCTTCTAAGGCTTCGCAGCAGTTGGGGTGGTACAAGACCAGCTCTAGTAAGGCCACGCAAACTGCTTCATGGTACAGGATCGAATAAACTATGAAGGTACTATCGGGATACGGTTGCAGCTTGAGAATATGCGGAAGAACCTTGTGTTTCCAGATGTTTATCAAAATTGCTTCGTGTGTTAAGACGTTCAACTTGAAAAATCAATCTTGATTATACCCTGCTGATTGTATACACGGCATCTCGCTCGATACCATGGAACTAGAAAACATATTTCAATTCTTGAAATGGAATGATGACTGAAATATACTAACTAGCTGACCTGGCAAACGTTGTTTTGCCACATAAATCGCTACGGTAGGAAATAATACCTAACTCATTGTGAGTGTGTGTCAGAATAATAACACTTACAAATATTATCACTCCCTCTATGCTATTGACTGTACAATAATTTTCGTTAGTCCATGTTTAGCTAACACAAACAAACTAAATGGTTTGCCTACTCGAACGCATGCCACGTATAATTGTCCGTGTGATAAACATGATGTGCTCAAATCCAAGCCACAAGCGGACATTGTTTGGCCTTGGGACTTATTAATAGTAATACTAGTCTAATAGGAAATTGCACACGTTCGAAATGAATTGGCACATTGAACCTTATAACTTGCCGTTTAAAATCCTGGCTTCGATAACGTTCTTCATTAATTTTTAATTACTAATCGCGTGCCGTTGCAAAGTCGTGGTTGATTCAAATTACGGAGCGGTCCAACCTACAGTTGTAAATTATGCGGTGGCATGCCTGGCAAATCCAATGAGTTCAAAAACTCTGTTGGATAATTCACAGCTCCGGTGGCATCGCAAACTGTATCTACGTTCGATGGAAAAACAATAATAGTGGCCGAAAACTGCGTACTGAGTGAGGAAAGAAGGCTCATTGTGTGAGAGAGACAGGAGGCCGGCTTAGTCCGTTCTGTTGACTGAGTGAGAAGTGACACCGATAGAGGCTTGGCGGAAATAACTGATCTATGATCAGGGTTAAAAATGATTGAGTTTAATGCTATTGACTGTACAATAATTTTCGTTAGTCCATGTTTAGCTAACACAAACAAACTAAATGATTTGCCTACTCGAACGCATGCCACGTATAATTGTCCGTGTGATAAACATGATGTGCTCAAATCCAAGCCACAAGCGGACATTGTTTGGCCTTGGGACTTATTAATAGTAATACTAGTCTAATAGGAAATTACACACGTTCGAAATGAATTGGCACATTGAACCTTATAACTTGCCGTTTAAAATCCTGGCTTCGACAACGTTCTTCATTAATTTTTAATTACTAATCGCGTGCCGTTGCAAAGTATCCAACTCTGTTGGATAATTCACAGCTCCGGTGGCATCGCAAACTGTATCTACGTTCGATGGAAAAACAATAATAGTGGCCGAAAACTGTGTACTGAGTGAGGAAAGAAGGCTCATTGTGTGAGAGAGACAGGAGGCCGGCTTAGTCCTCATCCCTACTCCGTTCTGTTGACTGAGTGAGAAGTGACACCGATAGAGGCTTGGCGGAAATAACTGATCTATGATCAGGGTTAAAAATGATTGAGTTTTTAATTTAAAAAAACTTGAATTGCCTCTTATTCATGTTGAAGTCATCATTTTCGTTAACTTATTTACAGAATTGAGATATATTAACCAGTTCTGGACATAACCCGTGTATATACTATTTTCACTTACTTTTCCAAATGAAACCAACGTTTCTTTTACTTGCTCCTCCTTCAAAACAGATGCCTCGATAAGTGCTTGTTGATTCAACTTTTGTATTCTTTGGTGCCAATCAAACCACCTTGAAATGTAAGAGATATATAAAAATTCATCGACGACGTTCCGCTTGTCATATTAAATGAGTATCTTACTGTTGAGATCCTATATTTTCCATTTTCTGCGGCATCATTGTGTCTATATAAAGTTCAATTTCACTGGGCAATAAGATGCTCTCCATTTTGTGCACTGAACAATCAGGTTTAACCTTTTTATTGATCAAACAAAGTAATGTGACTGATTTCAGAAATTGAGATTTGACAAAATTATGCTGAATTGTCAAATATATTTTTGATGAGTACTTCCGTCATTATTCAATTTGAAAATTCGAAAATGTTTTGAAAGCTAAACTTGTTGAGAATTCCAGTTCTGCCAATTGGAATAACAAGTTTGATGTATCAGTAGCGTTTTGTTATTTTCCGTTACTTCACAGGGGTCATCAATGAAATTTGGTATGGCTACAAAAAATAGAATAGAAAATAAATGCGTGACAAGGCGTACAAGAGTGTGGATACAAATTATTGCAAATTGCAGAATTTGTTAGTAAAATTCGGGAGGAATCTTTTTCTGTATCCTGTAAATGGTTCTAGTGTCTGTTTGGACAATAAAAGTTTTTTTTAATAATTTGACAAATACTTTCTTCGGCGCATTTAAGAACTCGTCTTGGCCTAAGCTTGTCCTAAGCTAAGTACTGTCATTTAATTAACGGCAACTCGGTAGTTTAGACACTCCACATAATTTGAATTTTTAGGTTAAAATAAAGGAAAAACTTTTAGGGGTGGAAGTTAACGAAATGTGAATATCTTTTTTATATATTCCTATACAATGGCAGAAGCTAACTCCATCCAAGAAGGTTTTTTATGTCCTATATGTCACAAGGATTTGCGCTCTGCCAATAATCTAATAAGTCATTTTCAAGATTTGCACTCTGAAGAAAAGGATATATTGAGGTCAATAAAAGGTACATCCTGTCCCAGTTCTCATACAATCAGAGTCGCTCATTTTGTATTGTAGATATTTATGGAATAGTCAAAAAGAAAATACTCACTCTTGATGACCAAGATCTTGAATCATTCAAGAAGGAAATATCCCTTGAAAAAGAAAAGTTTCATTTAGAATACAGCGAACCGCAAGATCCTGGCCTCACACAGTCACACACGGATTATTATAAATCTTCGAGAAGGGAGAAGCTAGATCATAAAACTGCTGAAACCAATAAATTAATCATTAGACTAGACAGACTGCTTCACGTCAATGGGCCAGATCGTAAACAGCACGAACAAGAACTAGTTGCTTGGCTGGATGGAACAACAGTCAGTCGTTGCCCGTCCTGCACGTCTGCCTTCAATATTACAAGGCGACAGCACCACTGCCGATTGTGTGGAAGTATCATGTGCAACTCATGTTCGTACTTTTTACCTTATGAGACCGCTCGTGAGTATAAAGCATATATTGTTACATCTCTGGGTTTTAAAATAAGTGGTATACTTTTATGGTTGATTCTTACACCAAACTTTTACAAAAGTTTGTTGGTGAGTACTTTTTCTTCAAGGATCACTTAATCTAAAAAATATGCATGCATCAACCAACAATGTGTTCAGTGTTATTTGTAACGTAACCCCATTCTTTATTGTATGGCTGTTCTGCTATTGTATGCGGAGTTTAAGAAACAGCAACATTGAATTACTATATCTTTTCAATTTTTTCTTTTGAACCAACTTTTTTTAATCTGTTCCAAATCAACATCTACAGCGCATGTGCTTTTTCTTTAACAACAGTATATGAACAATTTCATCCTTAATATTAAAGTAAAAGATGAAGTTTTGTATATGAATCAGCCATTGGTTAACTTGTTTTTGAGGGTATTAGAAAAGTTTGTTTACTATGTGCATCAACAATCAGTCTATATATATCATATACCAATCTGAAATATTTCTGGAACTATGTTACTGATAAAAGTTCAGCAAATGAATTCTAGACACCATAGGATATGAGGTTGTTGTAGGAATTAACAGTAAACAAAATGTAGATTGTTTTGTAAAAGTCTTTTACTTGTAGGTTATTTTACTATCATTTCATTTCAGGTTTATTGTTGCTTAATATAATTGTTATTTTCAACTATTCTTTTTTAATTATTCTTTTTTACTTGTTTCAGGGATTTCAAATCATTTTATATAATAGACAATGGAAGTCCGAACTAGTGAAATTCATCACGAAACATTGTCAATCACCTTCAAACAAATATAAATCTGGTATTACCAACACAAAATTCTTGATCTTTTGAAAAATAAAGGGCAGATGAATTTAGATACTGATTTTTCCAAAACTTTCGACACAGTAGAAAATTGGGATTATTTAGTTTTTCTGATTCAACTTGAAGTTGGATATGTTATATTGGTTATAACGCAGGTGTCTTCCGTATGCCTTAAGGTTCCTACTGTACCTCAATGTTATTTAATATTGTATCAACAATATTCAGGAATGTTCACATTTTACTGTTATTGGCATGTGCAAGTTTCTAATTGTCTTTGTTTCCTACTAATTATAAGTTTCTAATTTTTAGAATTTAGAAGTATCACACTCACAATCCAGCCTTGTAACAATATCTTTTTCTCCCCGTTTCTGGAAAACAAGTACATTCATTTCGAAAGCGAACCCTTTATTAATTACCTTTTTTGTGCAGAGACAATAGTTGCACCTGTCAATAATATCAGCGGCAGAGAGCAAGGCCCGTCAAAGGAATCTGAAAGTCTGAGGATATGTTACCACTGTCTAGATATGTTGGAAGGCAGGCGGAGAGTCCAAATTGAACAAGTCATGCAACCCATCATATGTCAGCTGTACTCCCACTTGCAGAAAAATAAATCCCAAGCACAAAACTCTGTGGACATGTACAACAAGGTAAAATAACCAGTTATTTTTGTTTCTTCCAAATTATTTTGTTATTTTGTAGATGTTCAATTCTCTTTTATCTGGTGAAACTACATACCTGCTTCAAGATCTACAGTCTCTGAGGGCTACAATAGCAGACAAAGCACAGATGATAGATACCATCAGCAAGAAAATCGACTCACTTCCAGTCGATGCGGATTTCCCAAAAGCAGCAATTTTGCAGACGAACGTTCGAAAGGCAACGTCCGCATACATAAAAGATTACCTCCTCACTCTACCTCCTCCCCCTACCCTTCAGGAGCTAGAAAGGGCCAAGCGGGAACGCTCAGCACGACTAGTAGAAGAGGATTTTGTACCAACTCGCAATACAACGGTAAAAAGGATTGCTGTTACCACCGGATGGTCTCCAGCGCATATTCCTAATGAGACGACAGTGGTAGAGGAAGGTGATCCCTTGCTGGAACAGATAAATATCGTGAAGAATTACATCACGCAAGCTAGGGCTGCTCAAAGGTTCGAAGAAGTGGCATCTCTGCAAGAAAACCTCAATATGTTGAAACAGATGTATCAAAAACAGCAATTCAGCAAAGTAAGAGGGGATTAGCATAATGGTTAAAGTTGAAACATTCCATTTTTATATGAGAAAATATTATGATTTATACTGTTTCTGTATTTTTTATTTACGGATCTAATCTAGTCAATAAAATATTAAACATCTGTAGTCCGTGATTAATTTTTAGATCATTCAGGTAACTTTGTCTTGAGATCAAAAGTTACAATGTTTTCCTAGAACTCAAAACTCTTGAGACTTGAATGTTGTTATTTATAAGTTTATTACACAATTTATTGTATTGGGGTTTTCCGAGTACAATAAATTATAGAAGATGAAAATAGAATCTCTGGTGAGGAATGAATCCAAAACAAGCACTTTTCTCAAACACCAGAACTTCAACACTTTTTTTGACGCGCGTTTTACCAAACAAGATACACTTTCCGACACATTCAATGATTTCAGAAAGTCTCACTTGAACAAATGTTAGGTAGCCCTAAAGACAAGATGCAAATAAAAAGCTATGAGGACTGTGGCAGAAAAATATATTGATCAGAGTAAGCAATCCATTTTAACTCGTTTAAAAGAACGCGCAGTACATATCCGATTTCGAAGACCAGAAAAATGTAGTGTCATCAGAGTTAAGAGTCCTTTATATTTCACCATACATTCGTCAACCATCTCTGAATTATAACAGTTTTCAAATCATCAAGAAGGTAGAAAATTTTGTTAAGCATACCAAAATTGTGTTTTTTTGTCTGATAATTCTTCAATTGAAGTATTTCTCCAATAGTTTGGGAAGTCATATAATAACCAGCTTTAGAGCCGCCATCTGATGGTTATTAAGTAAGTCGTATGTGTCCTGTGAGGTAAATCCTTAGACAATGTCTAAGATACGCCACTGGGACAATGCCACTGATGCATAATCTGAAGCATAGTCACAAAACTATAACGGTTAGTCTATATAAAAAGCTATACCTATGTATATATAGTCTACATACAAAGCTATAATGTGGCCTTTGTATATGAAGATAAAGCTGTCTAAACATTAGGTACCTCTTTCAGGGGGACACACCGCGAAACCTTTTTATATAGACTATCATATACAAAGACGTAACGATCTTTGTATATAGACTAAACCCTATAAACAAAGTAACGATTATACAACGAACAGGCGGTTCTTAGTAATAGTTTTCCTATTAGCGAACAGATGGCGCTTTACACAGAAATCGAAACTAAAGTTTTTGTATATAGACTAACCAAAATATTTTTGAATATATGGTCTCATTATTTGACGACCTCACTTTATTTGTGAAAGTGGAAGTGAGACTATTGAAAAAAATCTGTTTTTGTATAAAATTATAAATATTTAAACCTCTTCAAGCTACATATCCTCATTGTGAAGAGTTTTTGACATTTTTATTTTTTTTCCTTCTTTGAAAGTTCTTCGATCAGTGAAGAAGGGGTTTTTCCATCAAACCATATCAAACATTTTCCCCTTAATATAAATTAGAAAACCTATTCTTTTTAATTAGATTATCAATAACTAAATTTTTATGTTGTAATCGCGGAAACAATTGTCCTGTATTGATTATATTACCTTTATAACCGTGTTAGGAATCACACGTTAAAAGGTAAGACCTCAAGTCCTTAGCTCGCACAAGTTTGTCAACTTATGAGAGTTGTCGTTCGTATGAGGGCGACAGCTGATTAACGGAAAAACAGATTTATTTTTGTATATAGTCTATATACAAAGATATTACCTACATGAAAAAATGTTCATTTACTAATAAGTACTATTTTCATTATTAGTCATTCCAAATCGCATTTGCTGAAAGTGAGCTTTGCGGAAATTTGATAAATAAACTTTAATTCATTGAAATTTATAATCTACTACTGCACAATGATGGTCAAGTGGGCTGTGAAATGCAATGTATCAGTTGAAATATTTGATTTCAAATGTAAACATGGAGATTAAAAAACTATGTCCAGATGTTTTATCTAAGTTAAGAAGCACTTACACAATGAATACAGTAACTCAATGTGTCATTGAATTAGTGAGTACATTTTCAAAAAATATTTGACCTTAAGCAGAGTTTTTTAGGTTCTGAATAGCTTGGATGCTAAGTCAACAGCCATAGCAGTAAGAATAAACCTCGTCACTTTCAGAATTCAGGTTGTAGATAATGGAGAAGGGATTCTGGAGGAGAACCTGAGTCAGGTGGGGCGAAGATACTTTACTAATAAGTGTAAAACCTTGGAACAGTTGGAGAAACACATCAAGTATTATGGGTTTCGGGGAGAAGCTTTAGCAAGTATAATAGAATCTTCTAAGAGCGTTAATATTACTTCTAGACATGCAAGTTCTTCTGAAACTTATAGTAAGACCTGTGGAAAGCATACCAATAAGGGTGTAACACAGGTAAGAGACCGGCCAAGCGTTGGCACCACCGTAACAGTTGAGGGGTTTTTCTACAATCTTCCTGTGAGAAGGAAACGGTTGATCAGTGAACTGGAACTTGAAGAAATCAAGAATAGCATGGAAAGCTTAATGATAATGAATCCTGAAGTGTCTTTTACTATTCGCAACGACGTTACCAGTGAACTGCTCCTCAATACTCAGAAAAACAAAGATATATTATCCTCTTTCAAGTACTTGCATCCCGAGGTAGGTGACGATTTTTGTTTCATGAAAATATCGAAGGGAAAATTGTCAGTTGATGCACTTTTGTTTAAAGAGTTATCAGATAACAAGAGACTCCAGTATCTTTTTGTGAATAAACGCCCAATTTGCTCTCCAAAAATCCAAAAACTGGTTTGTAAAATGTACTATAAGTTCCATAAAATAAGTAAGAAGAAATCTGTAGAATTTGTCAACAAATATCCAGTATTTGTGATAAATGTTAAGTGTCCTTATTCTCAGTTAGATATTTTGCTGAATCCCTCCAAAACTATGGTGGAATTTGAAAACTGGGATGTGGTTCAGAGATGCATTGAAAAATTGATCACATCATTTTTTGGTGATGTAGAACAACCACAAAACAATAATGAACCTGTTTTACCTTTGGAAAACTCTAAAAAACACAGTGGAGTATCTGCAATAGCTGGAGCCTTCAGAAGCTACGGTTATAAAAGAAAAAACTCCGAAAACGAGGCAAAAACACCAGAAAAGGCGATTAAGTTAGCAGACGAAGATGTTGCAGAAGAGAGACAGCTAGGTGGCAAAATATCTGATGATGCAATTGAAGATTCTTTGTGGTTGAAAATGACGCAGGACAAAAAAACGATCTGTCCCAAGGCAGTACAGGAGAAAACTAAAGCGAAAAAGTCCCCAAAGAGAGATGTAGCTCAAAAATTGGATGTTCAAAGAGTTGAAGATATTCCTGATACAGAATCCTGTCATATAAGTGATTCATCTCCTTCAGCCATCGCTAAACCAAAAATCAAAATCAAGAAACCTCTTCCAGTGACGGTTTTCCAAAAGAAAAAACAGGCCAACAAAAACTCTGAAGCGAGCAAACTTGCTAGGAAGCAAACGCTACATTTGGAAAAGCCAATGGCAACCCGGCAGGACGATGCAAAATCCACCCTGTCCAAGTTTACCGACGACCAAACCAAAGGTAAGAGCCTCATAATGAACATGTTTCTGAAGTCGACCCAAATATACAGCAGCGACGAAAACATGGGAGAAATCAACGCCAGCCAAGAGACCGTGTACGAGGAAGAATCTAATTTTCTGATGGAAAACAATTTCCAGACTAAAGTCAATGGGGTGAGCAATGCAATGTCGGTTTCTGTGAACGTGAAGAGCACCAAGAAGATTAGACAAGCTAAGAACGCGGGGCAGAAAGCTTCCAAGTGCGTGCAGACTAGTTTCGAAGACAACAGAATGATTTCCAAGGGCTTGCAAACAACATTCAACCTCCACAGAAAGAAAAAGAAACACGACAGTATTTTCCCAGATAGTACGGGTGAAGATAACTACACTATAGTGCTTTCGGACAGGGGAGCAGGAGGTCACTTCAAGTTTGTTCTGAAAGATACGGGGTGTGAAGAAAAACCAGGTTTTGAAAAACTCTTCATTGATAAAAAATGCATCTGCAACTGTCACGAGGACACCAGTAAATATTTTAATTTTGAAACAGAACGTTCCGACGAATTTGGCGTTGATTTTCTAGATAGTGATAAATTCAATAAACTCAATTTTAATTTGGGATCAGCTGGGCAAAAGAAGACATCGAAATATTGTAAAAACACAAACCACATTGAACCTGACAGAGCCTTTGCGGGGCATATAGAAACAGAAAATAGGTTTCGAAATGCCCGAGTATATGAAAGAAGTCCCTACTTCACATCGAACAGAAAGAACAAATTACAAACTTTCAATGTCCCTGACAATTATATTAACGGTATAAGTTATAACCCTTATTACGAGCCGTATTTCCTTCCGCAATATCAGTATCTTCCTAAGCCCCAATATAGGCATCTTATGGACTTCCAATATCAGTATGGTATTCACAATAATCCCTACATCAATGAAAATCCCGTTTTACCTCAGTATCCTGAGCCAAACAAGTTTTGTGAAGATTTACCGCCAAATTGTAGCCCCCAATCTTCACAAGACAATATTCCAAATTTTGACTGTTCTTTTATGGTTAATGAAGACGATCGCAATGAAAAAACGCTCCGTACAAACGACTGGACAATCGGATCTTTTGGTCAATTCAAACCTGCCCACTTGAGTACCCAGCAGAACGATAATGACAAGGTACGAGACAGAACTGATTTAGTGTTCAGTCAATCTTTTGAGAAGCACTTCAATCCTAATATAGAGCCTCTGATAAATCTATTAAGCGTTTCTGAAGAACGCAATAGAGATAACGCGCCAGAAAAGTTTTGCTCAGCACCTAATCCATCTGAAAAAGTTGATGTGGAAACTAGAAATGATGAAGATGATGTTAATCCTACCTTGCAGGCGAGGACTTCTCCAAATACTCACAACTCTTCTATTTTGAATACACAGCAGAGGCTCGAAAAAGAGTGGGAAACTGAGCGAAGTGTTCTGGCCAAAGAATTCATGGAATGGGACAGCCAATTCACAGACGCTGCAAAGGAAGGAAACTTCAAGAAGAGCGACAAAGATGAAATCACCGAGGACTGGATCAAAAAGTTTAATGATTTTGGGAGCAGTTACTATATTAATAAGCGAACTGGTTTTACCACATATTGTACCCCAAAGCCCGCGGGGGAGCAGTTTAAAATAGCGGAGCGACTGGATTTCGTCCCAAAAGGAATGTCGCCTATATTGATGGAGATCAAAGAGGTCGATAGGTCATTGAGTCAAAACGGCAAAGACAAGCTGCTGGAGTATATTATGGAAACTTACAAAAACGAGTTGATCTATATTAAATGGCAGCATTATTTGAAAGATGTTGGTATGTTATTTTTTTATTAGTAAACTAGTATATTAGTAACATTCATCTGTTTTCTATAACTCTAATATTAATAATAATATAATAATAATTATTATTATTCAGTTGCATCATCTATAGATGACACTGAGTATGTCAAAACGTGTACAAATACAAGATTAAAAATACATATTTCGTTCACTTAGAGGCGCAATATGCAATTTACATAGATAATATAATGTGATATATACCTAATAGTCAAAACTTAAAATAATCTGCTATTTATCGTTATTAAAATCGGACTAAAATGTTGGACATGTACATATATACTATATAAAAGTCAAAACCAAAAATAATCTGTTATTTATGTAACGGCATCGTTATTAAAATCTTACCAAAATGTTACATATGTTTAAAGCCAGATTTGTTTTATTGTACTTGGAAGTTTATTGTACAATTTAATGACAATAAGCATGGGACATGATTCAGATTCAACTAATCTGTGTCTTGGCACTTTCAACTGTAGGGAATTTTTAGTGTTATAATTCTTATTACCATTAAGATTAGGAAAACTGGTTATGTGCCATTTTACATATTTTAATATCTCATAAATGTATAAAGTTGTAACAGCTAGTTAATATTCTGAGATTTTGAAAGATGAGTTTGCAACTTGTCCTTCTAGTAACTCCTGCTATATACCTTATGGTTCTTTTTTGAATTTTGAGTATTCTGGAACAATCGCACTAGATGCTCTCCAAGCTATAATACCATAGGAAATGTTACAATGAAAGTATGCATGGTAGTACATTAATAAGAGTGATCTATTTACATCCCAGCGTAGTTGTTGAATACAGTAAGATATTGGGGATATCTTTTTACAAATCGTATCAATATGCTTTTGAGATTTTCTGTTATTTTCAAACTCACAAATTGTGTCTCCTCTTGTTGTTGAATTGATCCATTAATTGACGTTACTAGTAAACTGTGATCTGGGGTGCTTATCTTGAAATATTAAAATGTAAAAGCACAGTTTTTCTTTCATTTAACAAGAGACCATTGTCTAAGAACCACTTTTGGGTTCTTTTTATTTCATCAGATGCTTTATTAACTGTGGCTTTAATATTTTTCTGAATTATCAATAAAGATGTATCATCAGCATACATAACGAACTGATCACTATAAAAATCATTTACATATATTATATATAAAAGTGGACCTAATATAGAACCCTGAGGAACCCCGAGGGAACAATTTTCAGATTCTGATTTTTTTCTGCTAACCTCTACATAGTAGCATCAACCTCTAAGTAACTTTTACAAACCATTTGTGGGTTTATTCCCCTGATTTCATACATCTTAAGCTTTGTTAGGAGAATTCTGTGATCTACCAGATCAAATACCTTACTTAAGTCTATGAAAATCTCTAGCGTCTTTTTACCTTCATCCAACTCCCTGTACACGTTGTTGAGGAGCTGTGTAATCGCTTGACTTGTGGATACTCCCTTGCGAAAACCAAACTGGTTCACATTCAAAAGACCCCATTTATTAAAAAAAGTTGTCATTAGGCTTGAAACATATTTTTCATATACTTTTGAGAATGGGCTGATGAAAGAAATTGGTCTGAAATTTTATATGTCAGTGTTATTTCCCTTCTTATGAATTGGCACAATTTTTGAAATCTTCAGGCACTCAGGAAAAATTCCCTATTCCAAGGAGCAATTGATCATGTAGATAAGAGGTTCAGCTATAAAATGTACTTATGCATTTTTTCAGTATATTCGTACTTATTCTTTCGTCACCGGTGGAATTTGAGTGGCTTAGGTTAGTGACAATGTCTAGTACTAGGATATCATACTCTGTGGCAGGTATGAAGTAGAGGAAATGAGCATTGATGTATTTAAGAGTTACTTCGCTTTTGGTAACCTTATTTTTCTGCAGAAGAGTATTTGGAATGGCATTTAAGTAGTTAATGAAACAGTTAGATACATTTGCAGGTTCAGTGACGAGGTTATTCTGTACATTATTATTTTATTATTTTTTCCTTTATTTTATCATTATTAGATCTCATAATATTTCAAGCACTGCGACAGATTTATTTTTAGCGTTCGTTAATAAATTGGAGTTGTAAAGTTTTTTCTCCTCATTTAGTAATTTTCTAATATATAACTTTTTATATTTGATGTACTATTTTTCATATTACTACTACCATTTAATGTGAGAAAATACAGATACCCGATACCATTAAGCCTTCAGTTAACCAGGGTTTGCGGTTTTGTTTGTTTCTTTTTTCGCCTCAAAGGAAAAGCGATTTAAAAATAGTGCCTGAAGGTTTCTAAGAATTTTTCAAATTCAACATTAGCATTTTCACTTGACTGATAAATTTTGAACCAATTTTCCTCTTTGAGTAAGAACAAGAACCTCGTAATATTATCGTGATGGTTTATCTCCCTGTATTCGTAAGTCAGCCTGGTATTTTCTTGATGTGATTCAATATTGATACTCAATATCTGGCAAGACTGATGGTCACTTATGTTACTGCTAAAGTTTTTGCAGTTTAAGTGCTCTCCTTCAAATTGACTCGGCTATTATTGTTTTTGCGAAATAAATTGTTATTGTAATAGTTTAAATTTGGAGTCAGGCTTACGGAATAATATGAGAATTTGTACCTACCATCTGGATCACCGAATACCCTCCTTTTTCCCTTTTTTTTTATAGACCCAAGTACATTTTTCGAAAATATGTACAAAGAAAAACTGAAAATGTTTGAGGACAGTATCCCTAATATAAGCATAGGAAAGAAGAACTTGACCGACGTCGTAAGTTTCAGCAATACTTTATTCAATAACATCGAGGTTATAGGTCAAGTGGACAAAAAGTTCATCGCAGTTTTGGACAGAGAAAGCAATTTGCTAATACTATTCGATCAACATGCCGTTCACGAAAGAATTCGGCTGGAGAAGTTGTTAAAAAGTAGGCTAAGTATGCATTTATTATTTTTTCTTAGACTCTGTTTGCAGTTTACAAGGAGGCCAAATCAGAACTCGCGGAGAAGTTGTTATTTTTCATTCCTGAAAACGACTTACAGCTGCTGAAGAAACGCGAATCCTATTTGAACTTTTTGGGACTCTCAGTCGAGTTCTTCACTAATGGAATTAACGTTATTCAAGTACCTCTGAGTTTATACTCAAAAATTAAACATAACGTAAGATTATATTTGCGTATTTTTCAATTAATAGAAGAAAGTTTTTTTTTTAGAATTTTTCTGGTACTCTGAATAAAATGATTCATCAATTAGTCAAAGAAATAATCGATCTACTAAAGTCAACAAGAGGGGCTTCCATTTCCACTTTGCCAAAATTGTTGCAGAATATCATAAATATGGAGGCCTGTAGAGGTAAAAAAGTATATTGATAGGTAGGAGATATCTTTTCCAATTGTTTATCTGAAATTAAAAAAAAACATTTTCATGTAAATGTTTCTAAAGTTGCATCTGAAATCAAACAAGAGTGAGTTGAATTGAATATTGTTCATTTTTAACTAGTGTGTATGGCATTATTAATCTCTCTTAGGTTCCATAAAATTTGGAGACGTTTTGACAAAAAATAAGTGCGCGGAACTGCTAGAAAAATTATCAACTTGTGATCTACCGTTCCAGTGTGCTCATGGAAGACCTACACTGACTCCTGTACTGGCCCTGGATAGAAAAGATAAACGGGCAAGCTCATCACTTTCTTTCATTCGTACAAAAACACATATTTTTTTTAATTTCCAGGTACGTCCTCGAGTGAATTTCAGAAACTTACTTTGCGATAACAAATAACCTTATAAGAATAAATGTATGTAATATATAATTGTAGTCTGTTTATTATTATTATAATCTGTTGAATAATAAATTATTTCTTGTTTTTACTAACTTTTAAACAGGAATGAAACAACACGCTGAAAAGCATCTACTGCAGCAAATTCATGTTTATTATAATAAATAGTTGTGGTAGAAGTGTAAGAAAAATACAAAATCACAGCGTTATGCAGTTCTTCGATTGATAAAATTTCAAATAAGCTAGTATCGACAGTTGGTAAAGTCTCGTGAGCTGACAAAGGCACTTACACATAGAAAACAGAATCCAAAATATACATTAAACATAACAAACTGAAAACAATACAAAAAAAATAATTCGACTTAAAAACTAAAATACTATAAAATATCACGAGATTGGTGTGAATGAGGAAACAGGAGTTGAATTTATTCTACTGCTTACTGCTTAAAATTTTTGAGTAAATTCTAAATGATCACCAAATATAAATTCACTTATACTGACAAGGTGAACATACCAATTTTGGTGATCTCTGTTATTTGCTCATCATATCAACTGACCTTCTTGGGTGATATGTGTCAATTGTTCATCAGAAAATGTGGTTTATTTGGATAATCTTTGTCACACTTGTTACATATATACTTGAATGTGACTGCAATGAAATTTTTGTTATAGAGTGGGGATTACATAAACTTTGTTATTTTTTCAAATACATCCCTAAAACTCTCAAATTCACACCAACAAAGAACACAAATAAGGATATATAAACATATTTTTCACATCTAAAATAAATTCTGAGAAATTTTTATATTTGGTAACTTATATCACTTCATCATATGAAATCCTAAAAGGAACATCAGTTAAAGCTGTTTCATTATTTGGTAAAAGGCCACCTGTTCTCATCGACCGAGGTCCAAGAGTTCTCTCATAAGACCTCCAAATCGAGTATTGAGATCTTCTATATCTGAATTGGATTCGCTGGCATTCATTTCTGTGTTCCCGATATTATGCCTGATTGGAGGAATCCTGCGAAAAACTCTTCGCACATAATGGCTGATGTTGAACTCTTCATTTTCATCGTGCAATTTTTCATTAATAAAATAACAAGTGACATAGAATTGTAAGTACAGCGAATAAAAACTTGGTGTAGAGATCAATCCACTCGCACTGGCGATAGGAACCAGCAAAACATTCTTGAATTTGTCCAAACATTCACAGTTCAACTTACGGGTGAGTAAGTATGGATGATTCTTAGCTTTCATTATGTTCCATAACAGCAACGTGCCCTTAATTGTAATGCGCCAACCATTCATGAACTTGACTTCTCCCGTGCAATCTTTCCCTTCCTTGTTGAAAACCTTCAAATTATCAAAAAACGCAAGAACTCTGTCAATGAACCTACACTGTGCTTCAGTTCCTTTGAAGCTACTGGTGAGTTCCGTTTCAGAAGTCTCCTGGATTGAATTAAAAAGGTCAAAAAGTTTATCGAACATTTCAACGAATTCTGCTGTGCCAGCAGCAGCAGAGGAAAGCATTCCTTCGTTAACGTGAGCTCTCAACTCTGTAGCTACAGAATTACTTAAGGTTTCTATTGAATAACGAGGAACTACTCTGTCATCTTTAGATAGTTTGATATGTGTCATTCGGAGCTTCGTCTTTTGGGGACCAGGAGTTTCAGATTCGATCTCAAAGAGTGATTTAATATGCTTCCAAGATGTTCGGTACTCGTAAAATTTAAGTTTATATTTCTCTAAGGTATTGCGAGTAATGTTCATGAGTTGGGGTACCTCGAACAGAAAGATTACTTCTTTAGAGCCTACTGTGAACTTTGGATTCTCAGGAGACACTTCAAGATGCAACATTAGATCATAAAAGTTGACTCGCATCCTTGTAATGAGCCCCAGAACATCCAAGCCGATTTCCTCCACTTTCGTAATCGATTTGAACAGCAAAGGTTTGATCTGTTCGATAGTGGCCGAGGCGCTGGTAAATATGAAGCAAAGAGGCATCATCCACGTTCCGCCTATGCTGTGAATCCAGATAGTAGTAACGTATTCAGCTTGTTTTTGAGTTTTGTGTTCACCATCATCTTCAAAACCAACAACGCAGTCCAACCTATCAAGATACTTCAATTCCGGATCTAACTGCATCTCGTCCATTTCCAGAATCACGTCTTTTTTATCTCGGGGGAGATTTTCTGTTTTTACTTTAAGCAACTGCAATATCTTGTCGTTCAGACCTGCAGTCATCGGAAAATCATCATAGCATTGCTCGATGATTATATCTATTGGTGTCAGATTGTACATCTTTGCTAAAGCGGAATACTTCAACTCTCCTAGAACAAAATAAGAGGACATGCAGAAAATCAGGTACTCTGGTGAAGTATCGATCCCATACACCATACGCTCCAAAGTATAGACAACGAACTTCTTCATTTCTATTCCAACGTTATCTTCGTCCATTTCGACTATAATTTTGTCAATATAATCTGGTGATAATTTATTAGCCGGTGGTAATGAAGCCTTGCTATTACGTTTCTTCGGCATATTTATAATGTTGGTTTCACACAAGAAAGATCTACTGAAATGTAGCAGTAGATGAAGACTGTTTTCCAGTAAATGTAATCAAAAATGAAAATGAAAAATTACCTTATACTAGTAAAACGACCAAGACGACAAAAGAAAAAAAATAAGAAATTTTTTGCCCCTTATTCAAAAAAAAAACGGTTGCATTACTTGCCGGCAAAGGACCAATGAGATCGCAGAACTAATAAATTGTTTCGTGATGTGTCCTTATAAAACACTTGCGTCTGTAGTTGGGTTAGAGAATTTTGTACTCTAAACATTGGTAATGTTCATTTTTTCCAAATTTTAATTTTTCGCATCTTTTCAACTCATCACTATATGATATAGTTGAGCGATTTCCGGCCAATTTTTGTCTACAAATCAAAATTGAACCAAAAAGCTGCAGAAAAATTAACCAGGCATTTGGCAATGATAGTATTCCGGAGATTTTGGCTTCGAAGATGAGCCCCGTAATTATCGACGATTTGAGGATCTTGGTGGACACTTAGCTCACTGAACCATATCAAACGGTGCGTATTGGAAGGGTTAAAAAGCCTGAAAAGTTATACAGTCTACATAAGTAATCAAATTAATAATAGAAATTAATGTCGTTACATTAGATTTCATTTATTTGACCTGAAACATATCCTTCATCTTTCTTCAACTGAAAACTATGTAAACCTCAAGAAACAAAACCACTCAGATTTTTTCAATCATATTACGGAACCTACAAACTATACGTAGCTGAATGCCCAGATATAACAAGAAATATTTATGTCGCCCACTTATGATATAATATACTACTTCGAAAATTTGTCTCCTGTAAATCATAAATAATCAGTTCATATAGCTATATTAAAAATATCATCTAGAGTTCATCTTTCAACCATAAATAAATCAAATTTTGATACATGTCAACAACAGCTGCTCGCACCCTATTATGGTTATATTAAAATAACGTCAACGTAAGAAGAGACAGGGACAAGTTATGTTGATATCGACATAACCTAAATCATGTGGATGTTTCAGACAAGTATAATGCTAAAAGAAATCAGATAGCCATAGCCTACTGGAAATTTTTGAGTCGAGAACTACAGAATTCAACATTTCGGGATGAAAAATCGAAGTGTATTCATGTTTTTTATTGGAGTAAATTTTCTTCACAATCGAGATAATTAGTTCATAAAATGTGTGGATTCTGTTTTTTCCTGTGACTGAACTTCTTTTCTCAGTTCTCTCAGAACGGTGGCCAATAATTCGGGATTAACTCCAGCCTCACAAAGTCGTACGCAAACTGCTAATGTATCGGGCTCCAGTCCGGTACAAAGTAATTTGGACAATTCCATAAGCGACTGAAATGTTTCCTTCGCCTCTTTCATTGGAGTGATTTTTTTATAATTCATTCTTGATATATCAGAAATATGAGCACTATTGAAATAATCTTATACCAACGAAAATATTTGAATTTATCAAAGTATGAAAGTACTACCTAACACTTGTCTTATCTGACAGATTTTGTAAACAAAACAACTTTAATTAATCTGAGTGATGATACAGCACAGCTACATGGCCGTAAGCCGTGAACATAATCCATTATTCCGTGCCGTGACTACTAAGATTATCGGACACAAATACTTTCCACGCAAGGCGTTCTCGATAGGCGTTTAATTGTTTGGTATAATTGGAAACTGAAAGCATTTTTCAAGAGATTGTGGACAAATGAAGATGTCTAACAAAACGATCATCTCATTTCTTACCACTATTAGGCAGCCAACTCTACTTAGCAACACAGAACACAGTCACTTTAATAAATTGCTGCCAGTTTTAAATCGACCGCTAATGATAAACACCATTCGAGAACGCCTTAAGGTCAATGAGATCATACATCTCTACATATTTTTCTAAGTGGGCTGCAGCTGTCGATAATTTAAATTAAGAAGAAATAAACTTTTTCGGATATTTATACTTCTCTTGCAATATTTAAGAAAATAATATAAATATCAATAAAAAAATCTTAATGACAATGAATATCGATTATATACGGAAATCAGTTTTCTATTTCTCAGTTTATATCTCAAAATATCAGTCATAATGGAAGGACCATGAAGTGGCGTCATCTAAGTTTTATAATTTAAACGTCAAACGCGAGGAAATCATTGAAAATTGTTGTAATTCTATTCTATTCTTTTCACAAACATGTAAATGTCAATTTTCCATAGGGATTATAGTAAATTCTGTCAAAATAATAAATTGTACTTTATTCTATTGACAAACATGTAAATGTCACCTATTCATAGCGAATATAGTTAATTTAAAAGATTTATTCTAATTTAAACACTTTTTCCACACTTCAGAACTGCAATACCATTTTCGACACACTTTTCATCAACTGAGTTTAGGTCATCAGAAGATGAACTCTACTAAATTCTATATAACAGTATTAGTTTATATCCTACCTACCAGTGATACACACGTCGTTGACTTCCTGGCCTGAATCTGAATTCACTGAGGCCAAATATATAATAGGAAAAACAGAAGAAAATGCATGTAACCCCTATGAGATTTTGAATTTTCTGTTGTTGTTGGTTATTGTAATGAAATCTTAAAAGTTTGACAGAATCTATTCACATTGGCTATTTATCATTTACATGGTATATAGCAATTATGCCTGATATAAAAGTAACGCCGCTTGGTGCAGGTCAAGATGTGGGCAGGAGCTGCTTGTTGCTTACCATGGGCAACAAGAATATTATGCTGGACTGTGGTATGCATATGGGCTACAACGACGAACGAAGGTTTCCAGATTTTTCATTCATAACGGACGGCCCCATTTCCGCGTTTATAGATTGCGTAATAATATCCCACTTTCATTTAGATCATTGCGGAGCGCTTCCTTACATGTCTGAAATGGTGGGGTATACGGGGCCAATTTATATGACTCATCCCACGAAAGCTATAGCCCCCATATTACTAGAGGACATGAGAAAGGTCTCCGTGGAGAAAAAGGGAGAACAGAATTTCTTTACCTCCCAGATGATCAAGGATTGTATGAAAAAAGTGATTGCCGTTACCCTACATCAGTCTGTAATGGTAGATAATGATATTGAAATAAAAGCTTATTATGCTGGGCACGTTCTGGGAGCCGCCATGTTTTGGATCAAAGTAGGAAATCAATCGGTTGTTTACACCGGAGACTATAATATGACTCCTGATCGGCATTTGGGGGCTGCATGGATCGACAAGTGTAGACCTGACCTATTGATATCGGAATCAACTTACGCTACCACCATCAGAGATTCTAAAAGATGTCGTGAGAAGGATTTCCTTAAAAAAGTACACGAGTGTGTAGATCGAGGCGGTAAGGTGCTCATTCCCGTATTTGCCTTGGGGAGAGCTCAGGAGCTGTGTATATTACTCGAAACTTATTGGGAACGCATGAATCTTAAAGCGCCAATTTACTTTGCATTAGGACTTACGGAAAAGGCTAACAACTATTATAAAATGTTCATAACATGGACCAATCAGAAGATAAGAAAGACATTCGTGCAGCGAAATATGTTTGACTTCAAACACATCAAGCCATTTGATAGACAGTTCATTGATAACCCAGGGCCGATGGTGGTGTTTGCTACACCAGGTATATAAAATAATTATAAAACAAATTGAATTCCCTCCAGAGGGAAGTTTTTGTCTTCAGCATAGTTTATTGCATGACATTAATTTGTATTTTTTATAGCATTGTCAATATCATTAATGAATATATTATATAGGGGCCATTCAAGTATTACGTAATCACTATAGAAGGGCGGGGGTCTTTTGCTTTGCTTATTTTTGATAACATGGGGGGCGTGGGGGTCTAGATGATGATTACGTGTCAGCAGTAGTTGTTTACTTTTTTACACATGTGGCAACCCACATTGTCTATAATTGGAAAAGGCATATAACAATGTTTCCATAAGCATGGGAGGGGGAGTAAGAACTTTGCTTACTTTTGCTGACAAGGGGGGGTGGGGGTAAATAATGATAATAAATTGGCTTACGTAATACTTGAACGGCCTCATAGGCCTTGGTTTACTCCCCTGCAGAACTCCCATGGATGTCCCCAATGCCTTCGACCAACTGAGCATCTGTAATTCCAAAATTTTTTTTTGATTCTTGAGGTATGAATCAGATAAGCTTGAACTATTTCCCCTAATACTGTACTTGTATAATTTTTTTCAAGAAGTAAATCATGATCTATGCAGTCAATGGCCTTCAAGAGATCCAGGAAAGACCCACAGGCTAGATCACCTGCTTCCATTGCATCTATTATTGGTGTGAAATGGATTAATGCAGTTTCAACTGATTTCTTTTTCAAATATGCATGTTGATTGAGTGAAAATAAGTGAAAACTTTAGAAGAAATAAATTATTCTTGCTATTGCCATCTCAAAAGATGTTCGAGAACCAGGTATCGGGTTTATAGGATGATAATTTGTAGTATCTATGGAATTTTCTTTTTATAACGGGGGTTTCACTATTGTTGTCTCCAACCCATATGGAAATATACCCTACCTAAAAGACATATTTATAAGGAATATTGAAATATCGGCAATATGCCACCATAAACAAGTATATCTTGGTGGTATTTTTTCAATTTGTTTATATCTTAAATTACAGGTATGCTCCATGCTGGACTGAGCTTGCAGATATTCAAAAAGTGGGCCCCCAACGAAAACAATATGATAATAATGCCCGGATTTTGCGTACAAGGAACAGTAGGTCATAAGGTCCTCAACGGAGCCAAAAAAATTGAATTTGAAAACAGGCAAGTCGTTGAGGTCAAGATGTCCGTCGAATACATGAGTTTTTCGGCTCACGCAGACGCCAAGGGCATAATGCAACTAATACAACACTGCGAACCTGGCAACGTTATGCTCGTCCACGGAGAAGCCGCCAAAATCGAATTCCTCAAAGAAAAAATCCAGCAAGAGTTCAAAATCAAGTGTTTCAACCCTGCCAACGGTGAAACCTCCATCATCTCCACCCCTGTGAAAATCCCCATAGACGTGTCCCTTCCACTTCTCAAAGCCGAGGCGAAAAAGTTCAGTAGTTTGGCTCCTGATCCGAAAAGGCGTCGCACGCTACATGGAGTCCTGGTTATGAAAGACAACGGAATGTGCCTCATGGACGTGGAGGAGGCTTGCAAAGAGGCGGGAATAAGCAGGCATGTTGTACGGTTCACTTCTACAGTTCATATAAACGATAACGGACCTTCTTCAGTGACGGCTCACAAGTTACAAATGTTCATCAAAGAGAAACTTCCACTGTGTCCTGTGATTTTTTCTGAGGGAGAGATCTCTGTGGAGTCAGTTTTGGTTAAAGTCGAAGGGGATGACGATGATGATCAGAAAAGTGTGTACGTGTCGTGGACTAACCAAGATGAAGAATTGGGAAGTCAGATTTTGAACATTATTACTTTGATTAAGCAGTTTTGAGAAGGTACCTTGAAGAGGGAAGAAAAGGAAGACTATGTTAGTTTGGAGAATATTGGACTAGGGACAACTGAGGACAAATCTACGGATTTGACTGGAAGTGGTTACTAAAGCTGAGGTCTGAGGCAGAAATGGAAATTTGTGATATATTTCAAGTGTGCACTTGTAAATAAAAATTTTTATAAGAAATTTTACATTTAATTACAAATACAGAAGCATTTTCAACTTATTCTGAAAAATTATCGATAAAACTATCTGCTGCTTTAAGTATGAGGTTTGATATACTCGTTTTACTGTGGTTAGGTAAACATTATTGTCTAGCCTCTAAAAAAACTTTCTTTTTTTTTAGATTCATTTTATTAAACGGGAAACCCCCATTACAAAACAATATAATACAGTTATATCAATATAAAATTAACGAAAATAAATAATTTCAGAATAAGGCTACAACTCGCTAAAAAATAAATCACAAAATAATGATAATAGTGTTTCAAAATGACTTAGATACCTACAGTCTAGTATAACATCGATTATAACATTTTAAAGTATCCTTAGTAGAGTATTATTCTTAAAAATATCCAATCTATCCTCTCTAAAAACTCTAGAGATCTAACCATAAAAGAAAATCTCTTATAGTTTGTTCTGTGAAAACTAATGGAAAATAATTAATTATGCCCTTAGCATTCTTTGTGGAACTGCAAGATGTATTTGTAGCAAAGATGGGCATGTTACAATGGCATTTAATATTTTATAAATAAGAGAAATGTTAAACATAATCCTTCTTTTTTGGGAAAGAAAGTTTTTGGCTTTCTACTACTCCATCTTATACAAAAAAAAGGGATGAGAGAATCTTCCAAAGAAAGGAAGGAAGTAATCAATTTGAAAATAAGTGAATGTGGATGATATCTGATTCTTATTCCTCAACAAATGTTTGATATACAAACTGAATAGAGAAAAGTATCTTCTGTATAATTCAGTGTTCATATAGAAGTATTTGTTTCGAAAGATTTTTTTTCTTTCGTGTAATTCAATGTTTATATGAAAGTAGCTGTTTCAGGAGGACTTTCTTTCAGTTTGTGTCTGAAAGTTACTTCTTTGCATGATCTACACATCCATGTATAGCGTTACTTATTTTCAAATTGATTACTTCCTTCCGTTCTTTGGAAGATTCTCTCATCCATTTTTTTTGTATCAGATGGAGTAGTAGAAAGCCAAAAACTTTCTTTCCCAAAAATTAATCACTCCTAAAAATATAACCCTTTCAATTCAAATAATCCTTCTCTTATCCAGTGTAATAAGCTTTAATTTATGGATAATAAGACTATAGTCATGATCAGCAACAATATTTAGAATAAACCTATAATCACAATATCTCAAGAATTTATTTTGTACTTTCTCAAGTAATAACTTATGAACGTTATACTGTGGAGACCATATAATTGAACCATATTCAAGTGATCTGACCAACCCCAATATATACTGTCCTCACAGCCTCCAGAGACAGATCCCTACAATTTTTTTAAGTAAATCCCAACATTCCTTGAGACTTAACCACTAATTGTTTAATATGCTGCTAAAACTTAATTGGGAATCAAAAAATATTCACAAATCTTCAACCAGTTCTTTGTCTTTCAGCAAATGACCATCTATTGAATAAGAGGATGGGATTTTAATTTTCCCTTTACTAAAAGAAATCTTGAGGCATTTTTCAACATTTAAATCTAACAAGTTAAATTTACACTAATCACACAGCAGCAGCGATCTTTCTGGATATCGATAAAACTTTCAAAAGGGTCTTTTGAAGCTGTATGAATAAGTATGTCCAATTATCTGGTGCTTATAACTAAGAATTTTCTAATGCACAGAAAGCAGAGTCAAAATATTCAATAGTTATTTAGACGAATTTAATTCATAGCACGGAGTTCCACAGAGTTCACCCCCCCCCTCACCATTGTTTCACAACATATACAGCTCTAATATTTATTATTACCAACATGGGAATGTCAAGCATGAGACATAAATCCTTCAGTATGCAGATGACACCTCCTTAATTGCCCACGATCAAACTCTAGACAAAGTGATCAAAAATTTGGAACATTAACAACGAATAACTGGTTTAATAAATAAAGGCTCCAGCCAAACTCATCTAAGACTCGGTTCATCATATTTAACTACCGGAATTCCGCAACCTCTTTAACAGTCAATATTAACCAACACATCTTACATACAAAATAAAGAGTTAATTACCTAGGTGTTACGAGTTTGATTAAATTGTGACTTGTTCCTATATAATTGTATTTTTCATCTCATGGAAATAGAAACAGTCTTGAAATTGACCTAAGAGTCGATGCAAATTTTTCGATATCAAAGATTAGTGCTGTGGAGTTTTTTTGATAACAGCTGCCAAATGTGTTGTATTTGATAGAGAATGGAATCTCGAATAGTATCAATCATATGAGCTTTTTTGTAGAGCGAACTTTTTTAGAAAATAATGTTTTCAAAATTTAAACCTGGAGTTGACTGTATCAATTTGATACAGAAAATTTCTCTCATGATCTGATGGATACTTTCCAAGTTAAACTTTAAGTATTGACTATTTTTTCATGAAATACAAGGTATTATCTTATTGCATAAAGCAGTCATTGAAGATGGATCTATATGAAGACAATGCGTGTATTCTTCAACAGTTAGTTTATTGTGTCACAATTTCAAAATAACACATCAATGTTCCTAATAAAATATACCCAACAAAACAAACGGATTTCCCTCATCTTCTATCAGTTTTTCCTGTTCCTCTCTTCCCGGAGAACAAGTGCTTGGGCATTTTGGTTCCGATGAACCTATCAGCCTCTCCCTTGAGACCCATCTTCTTGACTTTCTTGCTGATGGCGCGATGTGCGATCTTAGCCAGTTTCTTCTTCATGGCTACATCCTTGACTCCTAGTTCGTTTCTGGGGGGCTTGGACATTGACCTGGATCTGTTGAGAGATGTGCTGTCACTGGTTTCCATCCTCATTCGTTTAGCGGGAGGCCCCATGGATCTGCTCCTTTGTTTGGTCTTAGTGAAATGAGCTTCTTCGCTGTCGGCTAGATCTACTCCCAGTTTGGACATGTCGTTACGAAGTTTTGATACAGAGCGATCTCTAACCTGAAAGGATCATTCATTTTGTTATTGCATTATTGGAAAATATTGATGATGAGTTTCTAGAACAAAAACATATATAAAATTAAATATGAAAACTAAAGAATGGGTAGAGTTATAGAAACTTTTGTGGAATTGATAAAATGATTGGTCCTTTGAAATACAAAAACTTGTAGTGTGCAATAAATTGATTGAAAACACCTTAATAGATTTTGCAAGAACTGTAAACCTTTTTTTTACCTTTGCACCAGCAGTCCTGGGCATGACTGGTTTCCTACTTTGCTTATTGATCCTTGCTTCGTCTTTAATGATGGCTTTTTTGTTCCTGATCTGCAAGGCAAGCTTCCTGATCTCTTCCATGGTCTCGTCCAATTCGATTTTCGGAACGACATACATTCCAGTTTCTTCACGTAACTCTTCTTCTTTTTCTGGAAGATAACATAGGATCATTGCATAATGAAATAAAACTAAATTAGATATGTGAGTGGCTCCTTTTCATACCTAGACTTGCCAGCTTCTCAAAGATATCGGGATCAATATAATCGGCAACGTTATGGCCTTCCCAGATTTCAGGGATGATGTCGTATCGTTCCTCTTCAGGAATGTCAACGTAATGCTTCTTCAAGTCCAGTACGTAATCATCTCCTTCCTCTAATTCAATGTCACGCTCTAATTTACGTTTCTTCTTTTCTGCCTGTTCCTGTTTTTTGGCCAACACTGAAGGAGGTATGCAAGGTGGTCTAAGTTTGTCGTCACGTGTTTTTGGCATTGCTACATGGAGTCTGTTTAACACGCCATCAACCTAGTAAATCAAAAAATATTTGGAAAATTGCAATAAGTAACTTGTTTTGGCAAACATAAAACTTCTCAGTATATCATTATTTTAGACCTTGTATTTTACTGTTTTATATGTTGCTTTCTGTATGATTTTGAACGTTGTCAGACACTTTCTACACACTCAGTACCAAATACCATAAATCGTAGCCTATATTTCCACCCATGAAATTATTATTTTCATAAATCTGAATCAAATTAAGTACTCTTCATATAAATATTCACCTTTCATTCAAGAGGAGCTATACTAAAATCATCAATATTGAATGTAATGAACTAAATCTCAACTAATCTTCCTAGTTGGCTTATTCCAAAAATATGTAGATATTTCATTAGTTGTGAAACAATTTCTTAATATTTTTCAAAATTTTTTATCCAAAGACAATAACACTAAAATCCTCAATTTTTGGACAAGTTTCAAGATGTGGAGTTTGTCCTGAATCTAATGATTTAGAGAAAAACATTTTTTTTGGAAAACTGTGTTTTGAAAAACACTATCAGCTCCCGCAAACAAACATAAAAATGCTTTTCCATAAAATGATACATAATTTAGGAAATGGATATGCCACAAAAATACCAACTTCAACCTCTACTTGTGACTTATTTCTTTCATTTTTATCACAGTTTTGAAAACTATTGTCCCAGAAAACAAAAGGAAAATGAAGCAGATAACAAGAAGAACAGTTATTTCTTAATTCAACTAACTATACCAAATAGATACCTTTTTCGTTCTCATCTTCTGATCAACTCTGAAGCTCAGGAGCTTCTCGCAAGCTTCTGTTTTGACTTCCATAACACCCATATCATTGACAGTAGACATCTCGATAATTATAATATCTTTATTTTCTTCCAGTTCTTTCAGTACATTTCTACGCTCCTTTGGCAACTCATCTAGTTTGATAATATCACACTTGTTCGCAACAACTATCAATGGTTTGTTTGCGAAAAGAGGTCTGATAGACTCAAAGAGCTTCACCTGTTCATCGAGAGTATGACCACACTGTTCCGAGAGGTCAATAAAATATAAAATACATGCTCTTAGATGGGCAAGAGCTGTTACAGCCTGCATTTCTATGACGTTGCGTTCTTCCAGTGAGTGGTCCAAAATACCAGGCGTATCAATTACTTGCCATCTGAGATATTTATAATCCATGTGACCTACGTAGAGTGACTTAGTTGTGAAAGCATATGGCTGCACTTCAACATCAGCTCTGGTGATTTTGTTGATGAATGAGGATTTACCAACATTTGGGAAACCTAGAGAGAAAAGGAGTTGAGATCCATTGAGCTACAATATGAAAATATTTGGAAATGATGTAGAAAATGATGCAGTAATTGGTCAATTTTGATGAACAAAATTTTTAGAGAAGCTTCAAAACACCTACATCAATCAATTTATTCAAATATGTTTTGTTGAGAAAACTTATTTAAATTCTTTGAACAAATATTTTTGAAGTATCATCTGTTTCAGGGAGTTTGGAGCTTCCCTGCAAACTTTATTATTAAAATTTACTGCTCATCATATTCTATACCTTCATTAAATACTCACCACATATTAAAATAGTTCTTGTATAAGGATCAATTGAAGGCAACCGAGCTAAATGTTGTCTCACTTGTTCCAGATAAGTAAGATTGGAAGCTTGTCTCTTCATAATGGTTGCCATTCGCCCCAATGCTGCTCTCTTGAGTTGTTTACAACGATACAGAGAATCACCGAATTTCAACAATCTTACGTAATCTTTAGCAACAGTATCAATCAAATGTCTTGCTGTATTTATTTGACCAAGAGCCAATTTGTAGTGATCCTTATCGTACAGCACGTTCATCAAATCAGCATAAAAAGGATGAACTTCATCTAATTTTGGAAACTCTGTTAACATTTGAGAAAGCCTATCATGAAAACTTTGTTGGGCGAATTTCACTTTGCGCATATAAAAGGCTCTGATTCTTGTAATTTTGTACTGTTTGTGTACAACTGTGGGGGTCTTTCGCTGTGTTTTTGATAATATTATATCAATGAAATCCTACAAAAAAAAGTTTTTAGAAGACATATCAAATAGTTGTTCCGAAACGTTACCTTCGCAGTGGGAACCACAGCTATCTTTTTAAAATTGTAAAGCGACATTTTTGTTGGATTTTCTTTAAGTTCTTAAATATTTTATGTTAAAACTTCCACAACATTTGCCACATGTTACGATGTTAACCTGAAAAGTAAAAGGAGCCATCACTCTTCTTCTTTAAAACGTTTTTTTTTTTTCTTTTCGAAGAGAACATTGTGGCAAGGTGACAGTGTCACGGAATAACAAATAACTGTCAACGTCACATTTCACCAAAATATTAAATCTCTTCAATTTTTCTTCTTTATTAAAAGATATAAATAAAAACAACAATGAAAATTAATTGGCGCTCCGGGGCGACTTCATTGATTCTAGTGGCACATTTGCGTTCTCAGCTGCAGAAGAACCCGGAAAAACCTGCAGCACCACATCATCTGATGATCTTGATCTACCAATGTTCTCTCTTAATTCAACAAAATTTATTTGTCGAGGGTATTTTTGACGAAAATAATTCATTATTTGAAAGATGAGGCTAGGTCGATAGTGAAATGCGGAGTTGAATCATGTGATATTTATGTCTAAGATTTTTGTTGAAATCTACTCCTCATCAAGTTTGGTCAACTTTATTACATTTAACGAATTGAGTCGATAAATATACATACTCAAACATATGCATAATAATTTAAGTAGTTTAAGAAATATGTTTATTACAGAGAATGATTTACTATTTTTTTGCTAGTTTCAGATTCTAGAAAAAGTTGTACATGTTCACATTTCCTAATATATAACTGACACAAACAATACCTTTCAAATCCACTAATCGATATAAAGAGTTATCTCATTTCCTTTTCTGTGGAAGAATATTATGGAAGGTAGATGTGACAACGAATTTTTGAATGATTGTGATTTCAGAATTCAATAGTCACAAGCAATAAGGATGAGTTATTTTCATAGATGACGATGATATATAGATACAAGCATTAGAAAATTGATCAATCAAAGAAGTTCTCTCCGCTGACAATTTCTGAATTTCTAACCTCGAAATTTTTTGCCAATATATGAATAATGATTTATATTTTTGTGAAAAATACTTTGATTTTACGAAGTAACTCATCGGGGTGAATCAAAAAGTTTGCCCTTTCCACACCTGTATAAAGTTCTCAAATAATAATTTTCATATGTGGAATATGGAAATACCCAAAACAGGTCGATAGAAAATCTCTTTGTCGTTTGGCATTTTCAGCGTCACGAAATGAATACGACCTTGTATAAATACTTTGATTTTACGAAGTAACTCATCGGGGTGAATCAAAAAGTTTGCCCTTTTCACACCTGTATAAAGTTCTCCATTATAATTTTCATATGTGGAATATGGAAATACCCAAAACAGGTCGATAGAAAATCTTTTTGTCGTTTGTCATTTTCAGCGTCACGAAATGAATACGACCTTGTATAAAATAAGATCATAAATTTCAAGCAATAAACAACCAATATTCATTTTTTTGAACTCTTATAACTTATCACGTGTGCTCTATTACGAGTACTTTGTTCCATGTTGAACTATTCGAATACATACAACGAGCTCCTCTTATAACTTATCTGATCTCACTTGAAACCTTTTAATTTGTATTCCGGCCTTTATACTAATAACCAATGTCGCTCACTTCGTGGTTCTTCTAAATCTACAAATGTGACGAATCATTAGCCAAGTTAGTGNTTAAAACCTTTTAATTTGTATTCCGGCCTTTATACTAATAACCAATGTCGCTCACTTCGTGGTTCTTCTAAATCTACAAATGTGACGAATCATTAGCCAAGTTAGTGTTGTTTCCTTTAGTTGTACAAATTTTAATTATTTGAAATATTCTGAAGCTGAAGACTTGAATGAAGATGGAATAAAAAACGATATTTTACTGTTCATTCAAAATGACTTCTTCACTCAATTTATTGAAAAGATTCGAATATACTCTTTTCCATTATAGTTTTAACTACATATAGTGATTAAGAATGAGGATATACCATCCTCTGATTCATAAATTATTTTGTTTCGTTAGCTTATTGAAAAATATGTGAAATATCTATATTGCACAACAAATACTGAAACTATACTTCGAAACTACATTGAATTGCAGAGGATACCTTAAATTTTGGGTTCAGTGGAGGATATAAGTAACAAAACAGATTATTTTTGCTTTAGAAAGGCTTTAATTACAATTCCCTCATTTTATTTCGTATAGAGCTTCGTGTTGTCAATTAAATATCAATTATTGTTTGGATGATTAGAGAAAACAAAATCCTGACTGTTGGGCCGTGGTCGATTAGAATCTTAGGTACTTGGTTCCATTTGACCACCTACCAGCCCGGATATTGGTTTCTTTGATCATGAATCCCACCATGAAAGTCTATGACCTCAAAAATCGATAAAAATTCATTCTGAAAAGTGATTCCACAGATCATGGCTGCTGGTCAAGCTACCAAAGATCATCCAATAGGATAGAGATGTGAAGAAGTAGAATTGATATAGTTCTTCTTCACAATTTATAATTAAAGAGGTTATTGTTTATTTCTTTATAATTTTTGCTTGCTCTAATGTAAAAAAATGTATAACGGTAGGGACATAGACTACGAAGAACGTAATAGGCAAATAGTCTTAGAAGGAACACAAATACTAGAACGAACAGGAGAGAGCTTGGCCAGATCACACCAAATAGCTGTGGAAACTGAAGATATTGGAAATGAAGTCATATCGGAGTTGGGACAACAAAGAGAATCACTACTCCGTACTCGTGATAGATTGGGAGATGCCAACGAAGAACTTGAACACGCAAAGTCCGTTCTTCGTAAAATGGGTCGAGAAGTCCTGTACAACAAACTTATACTGGTCTTGATAATTATTACAGAAGTTATTATATTAGTGTCATTAATATATCTAAAATTCTTCAAAAGATCTAAGTAGCATTGAAAAATACTTAAAAATTGCCTCTTTTCAAATCAAAGGCGTATGTATACATGGTTTATTATATAAAATGTAGTTACTATTTTGTTTTTGACCAACCTTTCAATAGTAATAAAACAATAGTTCCTTATTTGATAATGTATTACATTCTCAGGGATACTTTAGATGCTACATTTTTTAGCTGTCCGTACACTTTAGAAGGAGGAGAGCCCAATATTAAGTTGCATATTGCTCTCCTGGCCAAGGCAATATTTTGAAAACTTCCTAAAATGTGTATTTTACTGTCTGCCAAAACTATTCTGGTTTTCGTTACATTCTCAATTGTAAACTTGGTTCTACCACCCTTTCCTGCTAATCTTCCAATTGCTCTAGATTGATGATCACCTCTGAGAGCCCTGACATCTTTTATTTCAAAGGTTTCTACGAATAAATCATCGAGACGAAGGAGGGCCAAGGCATCTTCAACTTCAAAACCATAAACGAAAGCCTATTGAAAAGAAAGTTTCAAAATGTGATTAAAAAATAATATGGAATTTTATTCACCTTCACAAAATCTTCTGCTTTTTGTAAATTACCGATATCCTTGGTTTGTTCACAAGCTCTTATTTCAATATTTTTCGATTTCAAATTGTACCGAATTTGTAATTCCAAGTGTTCCACTATAGGGGTAAAAATTTTCATCCAGTTTTCTTTCATTGCAGTGTATCGATGAGAAGGTACTAAGATTTTTCTCATTTCATTTTTATTTGCTACGTCTGATTGGGTTCGCTTCCTTTTATATTTCGGTGGTCTATTTTTACTATTACCTTCTATTCCATTGTGAACTTCAACTTCCATTTTAGTTTCTTCAGTAGAGTTGGGTCTCTTTCTAGACTGAGCGACGAAACTATTTGTATCTATGTTAATATCATCCATATTTTAAATATTTTCAGAAACTAGAAAATAAAATAAGAAATAAACACCACATATATAATAGTATCACCTTCGTGTCACTGTTGAAAAGAAGGTTAATAATCTTTTCTTCTTCTCTTTTTCCATGGTAACTTGTGCCAAACAAAAGACAAGTTTTGGAATCATTAAATAACCAACTTTGAAAGTTTGAGGGCGTTATAAATTTGAAGGTCAATAAAACGCTCGGATTTTCAACTCATGTTCTAGTTTCATCATTATATTCTGTCTTGATGTAACCTTAATAATGCTGAACTGATGTTATCACGTTTTGAAGCGTAAGAAAGATTATGACATGTTGACATGAAATATACTAAGAACTTTTTAGCAATAAACAGTTTCGGTTATAATCAATTGTTTCATTTACGTAATGAAAACGATGAAATCATGTTGAAACAGGTTAATATGGACAAAAATGAGGAAAGTCCTACATAGTATATCTAAGGAAAATCAAGTAAAAATTCAGGAAACTTTAAACTATAATTATATTAAAAGGCAGCTTGTTTTTGTTCATTAAATTCAATTCACTCATTATCTCCAGCTGAAGTTTCATTTGATGTAGAAAACAATCAACTCAGAAAGTCAAAAATTGACTCAGGTCCCTTTTTTCAGTCACCTATTCCTTTATTTCATCGATTACGGATAATGACAGAAAATAATAGTGATTTGTGATTTTCATCTTTCTTCGACTCATCAGAACTTGAAAAGAATCGGCCAACTTCAATATTCATTTTAGTTATCATAAGATTGATCAATGAATAGAGTATGTCTTCCAGTTCCCACTTGCAAAGTAATTCAACTATTGACTTCTTAATGACGCGCTTGACAAATGTCAATAATTATATATTATTCAGGCAACCACTGTCAGAAATTCTGGTAAGTAGAAGTAAGAAGGTGATTGAGCACAAAAGTGATAAACTTTTCAATTTTGAAGGTATATCAGTTGTCATTCTCATTTCTCAAGTCGTTCACTTTCTATCATTCTTGACCGAATTCTTGTGATAACGAAAGTATGTTTCAACAAATAACTGAAAATAAATGTTAATTCATTTTAATTTCTTATTATTGATTCATATCAATTCACAGTCGTAACTGTGAAATTCATAGTTTCAAGTGTGAATTGTGTAAAAACGTTTATTATTCTGTATAACAGGCTGTCAGAATAAATACGGTTAATGCCAGTTTAACACAGAATGTTTGATTCTTAATTGATAGAATTCACACGTCAGTGTCGCACGTATAGGCGAGTTCTTAAATTCATGGACGAGCCCACCGATTGATCCGATGGATTCATCTATTGGTCTATTCGAAACGTTAGCGCGTTTCTATTGGTTGAAGCAATCCATCAGAAATTTTTTGCCTAATTTAAGAACTCGTCTAATTTTGAGTTTTGTGGATTGAAATCAACAATCAGCAGAAAGATGAATGTGATACCCGATACATCTTTTATCTGAATAATATGGACATGGAATTGAATTTGGAAGCAAAATATCAAAGACTAGCTACCGAATACTCGAAAGTAAGAAACAAATGAAAAAGTTAATCGTAACCTACAAATAATTGTTCTTAGGTTCGATCACAAGCAACAGTTTTAAAAAAAGCTGTATTAGATGAACAAACAAAAACAGCGGAGTTCCACGAGCTCCTTAAAAAACACGAACAAACTGCTAGGAAGCGGGATCAGGAAATGGAGAGTCTGAACTTTAGAAATGAGCAGTTAACAAAACGTATAATGGTGTTGCAGCAAGAGCTACAAAACACTGTTCAGGGTAAAAAAAGCAAACACAAAGTGACCGAAGTACCTCCTAGTATCGATTCAAGTCTTTTGAACGAAGAACTCCAAAAGAAAATCTTGGAAAATGCCCAGTTATTGAATTCAGTAAAGGCCTTTGTCTCAGATCAGACGAGTTTCTCAGCAAATATTTTTTAGGTGTCTGACAAGGATTTAGAAATAATTGGATACAAAGAGAGAATTAAGAATCTGGAAGATGTTTTGGCAAGCTCGCAAATAAAACTTGCACTGAAGGAAAAAACCATCGAGGAGGAAAGAGAAGAGTTCAAAGCGAAAAGAAATGAGTTGGAGAAATTAGTCCGCGAGCTTTCACACAGCAGTGCACAGAGGAAACAGTCCATTGATTCATGCGAAGAGAATGTAAGTGGGTGACAATTACTTGGATAAATCTTCATTTTGACGGATGCTCTATTTGCTGAAAATTTTAATATTAGACTTGAAAAATTTTGGCTGCTAATCACGTCTGAGGTTGAAACTTGTCTACTTCAGAAAATATGGCCACTCAAAATATCACCACTTCTGATAATAAAATTATCGTCACTTTTGATAATGAAAAACTGTAAAATGACTCTTTTTTTTCACAATCTCATACTGCAAATTAACCTAATGCAAATGTGTTCACACAACAAAAACTTTTATTTCTGTTGAACAACCTTTTTCTCTAAATCATATTCTAAATAATGAGTTTTCGTTATTATGTATTGGCATTGTCACAAACAGTCCTAGTCAAGAAATGAATATTGTGTTACCAACTTTCAAAGTTTGTCTTTACTGTGTCTTGGAAAACAAAAAGATCATCACTTTTTTAATGCTTTCTTATTCATTAACGTGTATATGGTACTTTCTTTCGAAGATTACACATGTCCAACTGAAATGTACACTTGTTGTTTCTACCTTCTTTTAAATTGAGCAATTCACCAAATTATCATTTCCAATCACTATGAAACAAAATTCTATACTCTTCGGGGGCTACGCACATTTGATTAGTGATTTTTTTTTTATGTTGGTACACTTGTCTTGAACATATGTTCACAATTTTAGCATGTTTACTTTGTTGGTAAGAGGCATAAAAGTTAGTGTTTTGCAAATTTGGCTATCGAATCGTTTTTCAGCTCGAGTGGTTGTATCTCCAAATGTAGTCCGAACTGTCAAGTTTTAGCTTTAGAAACGTGAAATATATGTCTAATTAAAAAAAAAAATCAAAACTCTCACGAGCCTTTGATACGAATATTTACCATTACTTGTATACTTCTAATGTTCAAAGTTTTAGGCGAAGGTATGGCAGACTGAAGCAGAACGGTGGAAGAAGGAGTGTACCCTGCTCAAGTCTCGACCCGACTCGAATGACAAACTTACCAAATACTACGAATCCCAACTCAGCGAGGTCCTAGAGTCGAATGTACTTTTAAGGTCGGAAACAGACTCAGCGTGGGCCGAAAATCTGGCCTTGAAAGCTAGATTAGAAAATCTAACTTTGGAGCACAATCAGTTGAAAAGTAGCTTGAAGAGCAGTCGCGAAGAACTTGTTACGACCAATAACAATTACAAGAGCCAGCTTGATGCTATGACGGAGCATCTGGCTGCCCAGAATGAAACGATTACCAGGCAGTGCGACGACATTCAGTACCTGAAGCATAAGCTTTCGCAGAAAAAGTAACGTTTCCAGCTTGGCAATGCTTGGAAACTATTTAATCTCCTCGAACGGGTACAGCAGCAAGATGGATAATCAGAATTTCACAAACAAATGAGAAATTATGCAATGACCTATCCTGCTACTTGGTACTATTCCAGTGGTAAATATTTCAATTTTGCAGATGATCTGTTATATTATATTAAAGGATTATATTAGGATCAGTTTCGAAGCAGAAACTCATTCATAAATAAAATTAACAAAAAACTAGAGTTTCTATTGAATTCTTACCTATAAACATTTAAAAATTTGTTACACAAACATATAAAAATATGTCTTACAACAATTATCAGCCAAAAAGAAAAAACTACTCTAAAAGAGAAACAATGTCATTTGAAATGGTAGATGTAAAGAGAGTCCCAATAATTTACAAAGGTTTTCTCAAGAGAAATAAAAATAAATAGTGAGTTCGTACAAAAACTGATAAGGAAGACGAAAATTGTTCTGAACCCATTCTATACTGTTTCCATCAATCGAAGCTTGACTGTTTTTTCCTACAAACCAACCACTAGTTAATCTCTAACCTTCACAACTCAATAGAATTTCTTCGCTTGGCTATCCTTGCTATCCCTGAAAAATGAAAATTACAGTAAATTTATTTTATTCAGCATCAACATATGTAACTATCCTCAACTACATTCTCTCATAAATCTTGAAACATTCTATAACAGAAGAGATATTCCTCATTGCTATCCAAGCAAGGACTTTCAACCTCTCCTAAACTTACTAAAAATACAACATTTTCTCAACCATACTGTAGAAAAAATCAGTACCTTCATTCCCTTTGTACCACGAACTATAAGAGCGGCAAATAAAACAGATCTCGATTTCTTTACTTCTACACCAGCATCTCAGTTTCAGGATTCAGGGTGAAATATGTAGTTTCTGCGAACCTTTTTCTAATAGAAAATTTAATCTAGTGACATTCTTTCATGAGTATATGTATTTGATTGTTAGTTGAGTTTTTACAATTTGACTATTTTTATATATAGCGCTTTCGACAGCTGGTCGTACTGTCATCTTCTAGGCACTTACGTGATTAAGTCCGTCCCTCATTTCGGATATTAGAGACTGAGTATCGTAGCCCACGGCCTGGACTTGGGCTGTTGGCTGCTTGGCCTGATTGTTGAGAATGGTGTCAGCTCGTTGTTTCAACTCTAGGATGAATTGCCTGGTGCACAAAAGAATGATAGATTGTTATCAAATCGTTCGACTATCAAAAAACGAAATTATATCAACACGTTGCCTGCCGTAGTTTAGTATAGTTTTGCCACATGGGTCAAAATTTTTAGCCTTCATGCCACAGTGCTCAAAGATATGTGAAGTAATGACTGGAGTACTATGACCAGTTACTAGGTTCATCCAACAAAACCAATGTTCACAATTTTATGAGACGCTCACTTGAAATTGTCAAAAATTATACTTAGAAACAGTCAAAGATAGATTAAACACTTTCCAGATGAGGCATCATCAAACTTCTATACACATACGAGGGTGATCTGAACAGTTTCCGACCTAACAAAGATACAAGACATTTTTTCCCATCTCTGTAACCCGACAAATAGTACTCAGCGTTTTTTTCTGCAAAATATTTGTTCACGAAGATGAATGCCTCTTCATTTGACAAAAATCTCGTTCTCCGAGCGCAATTTTTAGATGAAGGAACAAAAAGAAGTCGCTTGGGGCTAGATCTGGTGAGTAAGGCGTATGGTCAAGTAGTTCAAATCGTAATTCGTGAGCAAACGCGGCACCCAACGGGCGGACAGCTTTCTCTTAATTTTGATTTAATATGTGACAAACACATTCTTTTGACATGTCCATATCCTCGGCTATCTCTGTCACTTCAATTCGGCGGAGTCTAGCACCATTTGGTGAACTTTGGCGATGTTTTCGTCGCTAGTTGCAGTTTTTGGACGTCCGAAACGTTCATCTTCTTCCAGGCTCTTAAGGACACGTTTAAATACAGCTGCCCAAAATGTAACTGTGGTAAATGATAGTGCATAGTCCCCAAACACAGAATCCAACTCATCTTTGATTTGCGTAGGCGTTTTGCCTTTCAAAAACAAATATTTAATGACAGCTCTATACTCGATTTTGTCTATTTTCATAAAAACACAGCAAACGACATATAACAGGGGTTCCACAGGTTTCAATCCTGGGACCACTATTGTTTGTAGCTTTTGTGAGTGACATTGAAGACACCTGTAAATTCGCAAATCAAATGATATATGCTGATGACACAAATATTCTTATGTCACACAATAACATTTATTAATTAACAAAATTAAATAACAAGGCATCTAATGACACACAACAGGATAACCCGTTCAGATAGAAGAGTACCTATAAAAGGACAGTACGACCAGCTGTCGAAAGCGCTATATATGTATTTGATTGTTAGTTGAGTTTTTACAATTTGACTATTTTTATATATAGCGCTTTCGACAGCTGGTCGTACTGTCATCTTCTAGGCACTCTTCTATCTGAATGTGTTATCCTTAATTTATTTGTAGATTACCTTCTTTTCTTTCTTGACTAGTCTGATAAGTGTTATGCATGTGTGTATGTATAATGCCTTGTATAACCTTTGATTGATGAATAAATTCTATTATTATTATTATTATAACAACTGCGCGTCCAAAATAGCTAGAACTTTGGGGAGTAACTGTTAACAGATGAACAACGAAATTCACAAGCTTTTATTTACGAGTGCTGCTACCTTCATGTTGAGGTCAAAAACTATTCAGATCACTCTCGTATAAGTTTGTGGGTAAGTGATGAATGCAGAATTCTTCAATAATACTTATCCTACTGCTGTATAGAAGTCTCATATAGCTTGTTGATTTTTTATCCCATTAATAGAAGCTCGTGCCACAAATTTTTTTCGAGTATTGTGTTTCATTTTATTTTTACGCAAATTCTTTGGTTTAAAGTTCATTTTATTGGAAGAACGCTATTGGAAAGTGAACACGAAAGACGTTTTATCATGATTTAAAAATCGAATGGTTTGAATTCTCAAGGACTCAATTGGTGATCAGAGTCAGAAACGCTTTATTATCATTAAAGTTTAGGTTTTGTTGACAAAGCAGGTTTAAGAACTAAACCAATCTGAAACATTAAAATAAAGGTCAAGAATTAAAACAAGATCTTAATATGGCTCAAGCACACTTCAAGAAGTCTATGGTAAAAATCTGTGATAAAAATTTTATAAGTTGCTAAGTCATCAGAAAGAAATTCCTCAATACTAGCTTAAGCTTTATCTAGCAGAAGTTTTTTTACTCTTTTTTGAAACTGTTTGTAACTTTCTGATGGAAAGGGGGAGAAGATTGAAATATTTTTTGCTATGATAAAAAATCGAGTTTTTAATTTGTGCTGTTGACGGGATAGGAATATTGATTGTGAGACAAGTTAGAGGTGTTATCTTTGTGCTTTTTGTGCATTAGACAGACTGTTTCTGAAATAAAGAGGCAGTAGACTGTTAAGATGGGATGAGTTAAAAAAAGGGCTTACAGGAATCTTGGACTCATCTCTTTTTTGAATTGTGAAAACTTGACTCATTAAGTTTTGACAGCTGCTACCCCAGAAACAAACTCCGTACCGCAAGTGGGATTCGAAAAGAGCAAAGTATGCTTTTCTACCAGAGTGATAGTCCAAAGAGTTAGAGATAGACCTTATCGCATAACAACTTGAATTTATTATATTGCCAATTGGAATCTTCCCATCTCAATGAAAATGACAAAAAGTGTATTTTGCAACCTGGGATCTTTATCCCTCTATGTGCATATGTTACATAAGGAAGATGAAACAAAGATTTTTTTCGTAACATTTTGGAATTTCCAACAGGCGGAAAAAAGTACAAGAACTAGACTAACTCAAGAAGAGAAACCTCGGTTACCTCTTCTTTTGGAAGGTGATATTTATGATGTTGATATGGAAAAATTCAATGATGAGTTGAATTACATGATCTACATGTTCTATAATATAACTGAAAATATGAAACACTGATCTGACTTTGAAAAAAATTGAATTGAAATCAAGTGCGATCTTCTCACTAGGAAACTGATAAAGAAATGTAAGAAGTCCGAAAAGAGCCTGCACAATTATTTAAAAACGAATTTGAAACTGAACAGTGAACTTTCAAATGCAAACCACAAATTATTGGCACTAAATCAAGTAATTTTGTTGAAAATTATAAAAAAAGGTGGCAAGAGGTCATCAGAATTATCAGTTTACTGCTGTGATAATAATAAGGAACAAGGAAACACAATACTATTCAGAAATACTAAGTTTTTCACATACCTCAGTTCTTTCGATAAGTTTATAATAACATTTTGGTTAGTAAATACAGCATCGACCTCGTGTCTTTTTATGGTATCAACATAGCCCCCTCCCACTTGACCGACTTGAGGAGCTCCTCCTCCCTGTGGTACGCCACCTTGCTGGCTTATTAGACTCATCGTTCTTTCTTGCCTGCCTACTACTTCGTCTAGTTTCCTGTTGAGTTCCTTTATAACTTCGTAGATTTGATTCTGGCCTTGGAAAATTTGCCTCAATTCTCTTTGGGAGTCTGATTCATACCAGTCGTCCAAATCCGGTTCTTTCTATGAAGATAAAAAATTATTTGAATGAATATTTGATATCCTCTGATGTACAGGTGAGGATTATTGACAGCTGATGGATTTTTCTAACATTTCATTTCAAAGGCCAAAAAATAGGTCCTTGTGGCTTTCATAAAACAATATTTCTCATTAAACTCCTCAGGATCACTATTCTGGATTTTGATAGAAAGGATTACTACTTTTTGCTTTCTACTCCCTCGCTTCTCTATTATTTCCAAAAGAGATCATTCCTCAAATGAGGGAATAGAAAGAAGAGAGGAAATGGAATGAAAATGTTGCCAAACTCCTCTATAATTCCTCCACCAATCCAAACGCTTAAAATTATGACAGCAGACACATAACCTCAGATTTAACTTGAGGTGAAGTGTCATTTGTTTATTTGGTGAAAGAGAAGTATCTGCTATCATTTATTTAAAATGAGTAGAAAGGATATCATATTGAAGCAGAAAATTTGAACAAATAGATTTCTCTAGACTTTCCGAGGTTATACGCTAAGAAATTCATGTCAAATCATACTTGTCATCGTGCAAAAGCTTTGTGGAGTGAACTAACAAAGGAACTGAATGTTATTATACGTTGAGCTCATACACCAAACCCAAGTATTCCTTTATTGTGAGATTTTCAATGGACAGTTTACAAAACAGCAATACATGTTTTGCTATACAATAACTTTATCAAGTGTATTCACAGTATAACAATGAATTGTTATTTGAATAGGTTTTTTAAAACTGAATTTCATAAATAAACGCACAAAACGTTGACAGTCAGTTTTCCAGGTAATCGTTTCCTTTTCTACGTCCTGTCTTCAATTTCCCTCACTTCCAGCCAGTAGAATTAGTGAGATAATTCAGTTATTTCAGTTTGTGATCCAACAAAAAAACGGTGCATGTGTAAAGCAAAAAATCGGGATTCTTGTTGACCATTATTCATCAAGTTTATAATTCTGATAGTAGTAGCTTTATTCATATTGGAAACTGCATGCCTGATAAGAAAACACATCCTTTGAAGCCATCTAAACGAATTATAGTACTCCGCAGCCAGAAAATATTAAATTATCTATTCCAATCTCAAATCTCAACAAAGATCCTCTTATATGAAATGGTTGTGAAATATATAATAAGCTACCACTGGAGATAAGAGACATTAAAAGTTCAACGATTTCGAAAAAGCATTGAAAACTTTACTCATTGAGCAACCATACTACTACGTTGCTGACTTATTCAATGAAACATTTCAAATTGAATTCCATTGCGATACTAAAGTCATCTTGTGTTAGTGTAATTACCCTGGTCTGATACACTGATACAAGATACACTTTGTAAATAAAAATGTTTGTTCTTCAAACAATAAAGAATATTTCTCTGTCTCTATCATGTTCTCATGACATTTCTGCTCGCTGAAACTCAAGCATAGCAGTCCTAATGTCTCCAAAGAACCCTAACTTTCATACATATATACAAGAAACATGAAAATGAAAAATCACCTCATCAGGATGCTCTTTTCTATATTCAGCTTTCTGATCTTCCAATTTCTTCTGATAATCCTGGTATTCCTGTTGCAATTTTTGTTGCTCCTCGCCAGTAACTGCAATAAATCAATAAACATTGACTTCAAGGAACAATTACGTTGAACACCCAGTTACCCTATTACTACAGCTAAGCTGTAGTAATTGAACAATTACTACAGCTTAGGGCAGATACCAAGCAATGTGCTTTTGATAATTAAAGTGGAATATTCTTAAAATTATCAGTTTCTTCTTAATTTCTAAATTTGCACAGAAATATTAGTTTGTTTGAATAAAATTCAGAATATGAATTTTCATTAGGACTTATTTGCAAAGCTTCAATATAATCTCAGAAAAAGCTAAATCTTCATTTATACCAAACAAATGATATTAAAGCAACAAAAAACAGAATCTTTAAACTCACAATGAATTATATCAATGATATTTTTATGGGTAATTAGCTAGTAGATATTTTATGATGAGTTTATCTTTTAATCAGGTTACAGATAAAGGATTATTTTTATTACCGACTTTTAAAGTAATTGTCTTATCAATCTATCTTCTTTGAACAAAATAATGTAATATACTCAATAAAGATTCCATTAATCTCAATTTTAGTTGTTTTATCAGTTTCAGAAATGTACCAGAACTTTTAGATAATTTGGAATTCTTATAGCTTGGGAGCTACATTACTGTTTGCTACTCTTCACTTAATTTTTTTTGTCAGTTTCATACATGAATATCAATAGTTCATTAATGAAATACTTGAAATTTTGATTAACACATTTTCATTTACCTTGATTAGACTGTACTTGTCCTGGAGGATGCAAGCTGTTGGTGAGGAAGTGAATGACATCATGGTCATCAGCCAAACCTCCAGTAGCTGCCGAAATACCGAAATATCCGTTCTTGGGCAAGAAAACATTTTCTGCTCTCAAACAAACTTCATAGTCTTGTTCGTTATTTGTCATCCCGTTATGGAATAATACGGTTAGGGTGTTCTGGTAGTACTCAATACGTGCCCTGGTTGGGAAAGGCTTGTTTCGGAAGTCTCTGAGACAACCGGCAAGTTGCTGTGTTGTGCCATCACTAAAATGAAAACATAATGTTAATAAAGCATTTATGATGTTTTTGGGTAGATTTCCACGGTCAGCAGTATGTTGTCTTTGAGTTCGGGTTGAGGCGCGCCTGCGGTGCAAAAGTTCAAGAGAGTTGCAAAGCATTTTTTAGTGGTAGTGTTCAGATCCTGTTTGAAGAATAATGTTTTCATTTATAAAAAAGGTTCTTTTTGCAAGGCATATGATTGTTTGGCGAATTCAAGCTGCTGGTCGAAAATAACACTGAAACATTTATCCTCAGAAAGAGAAGGATTAGGCAATGCATACAGGGAATTCATAAAGGCAGGTTGAGTTGAAGGACGATCATATAATATTTCAAGTTTTGGATGGGTTCAGGAGTGAAGAGTTTTCCTCAGTCTACTTGGTGAGTTGAAAATTATTTTCATTACTGAAAGAAATTTGTAATGTACTTACTTCTGGTGATCAAACTTTTTAGTTCCATCATTGATAACGGCCATAATATAAGGGTTATTGTGTTTATTGTCATTGTCGAACGAATCGAAAAATAAACCAAGACCGACCCACTGGTCTGATGATCCGAAAACTTCTCCATCATAAGCCCCTTTGTTTTGAGTGTACCAGAATGCCTGAAATCAATTTTGTTAACTCATGCCAAGCCCCAATATCTTTCATAATACCAAACCATCAGCTCCTATCCTACCCCTTCCTGTGATTCTAAAAGAGATGTCTACATCCCACCAATCGAAATTGACTGGCTGCTTGATCCATATGGCACCTTTCTGGCTTCTGAGCGAAGGGGCTATTCTAACATTTTCTGAACTGGCAATAGCATCTAGAAAAAAGGTATTAGTATGGACGAATGTAAACCAGGGAACTCATTTAGAGCATTAAAAGAGTGGGATAAATACTCCTGAGGGTTATTTATAAAACGTTCCATACAAAAAAACAAATAATTGGGTAAAAATGTTATTTTCCAAACATAACATCTGTTTTTTTGGTTATAATACGTGTCCAATTAGGAAATGAAAAATATGTTTCCTCTTTCTTTGGAGCACATGTTAAAGAAGGACACGTAACCGAAACTCATGTCGTGTATCATTAAAATACAATACGTGTACCAAATAAAATTTTACTTACTACCGCCGTATTCCCAAAATGGTACTGAGCCGTCTTTTTGGGCTAGATATGGAGGTTTAAACGAATATTTATATTCGAATTTCTTATGTACTACATTTGCAGCAGTGTAATTTATCAAAACTAATAAAATACAAATTAAATTAGTTAAGCACTCCATAATAAATTTACCACTTGTAAGTTTGCACTGGCGCACTGGCCACTTATTCATAAAAAACTTGACTTATAACTAATTTCAAGTTGTTTATTGAAGTTTAATTTTTCATGTTACAACTACCATCAGAGGGCGCCTATTAAATAATGTTTGGACAATATTGCTAAAATTATTCACAGTATGAACTTTTTTGTAGGTAAATTTGGTTTCAGGATGCAGTCTGATCTGAATATTGAGTGGACATTATTTTCGAGTAATATGGAACACGATAATTTTGAAAACACATTTAAATTCAAATTTTACACCATCGTTATTTTTAAAAAACGTTTAAAGCTTTTCCTCGAATATCAGTTATCGCTACGATTTCGGTGTAGTTTCAAGTTATTGCTTTAAGTTAAATTATTTCGGAACATATTTTGTCTCTCGTCCTTCACTTTCATTTGTATATGTAAATATTGAGCTATTTATTATTATACATGTATTTTAATTTAATACATGTATTACATTATCAGCAATTGATAATCCGCCTATTTCTCTATACAGTTACACTGTTTTGTTCATCTGAGAATTATTTTCTTGTTTTTATGAATGCATGAAGATTTATTATTTTTGTTATTTCAATTGTGATGATACTGAATTTGACATATTGCTCCAAATAGTTCTGTAATTCAGCTATATTATCAATATTGCTTCAACAAATAGTGTCATCAAATATGTTATAAAAAAGTATAAAATATGTTTTTTCCATTAACCAGCTGTCGCACCCCTACGAAACTTGTGTGAGCTAAAGACAAACGAGGTGTTACATTTTACGTGTGCTTCCTAACACGGGTTGGACGATAGCAAGTGAAAATCGATCGTTAAGCCTGCGGCTTGAACCACCGACTAACACGGCGGTCGATTGAGTGAGTAAACAAAGCACCCACGTCAAACCGACCGGCTACCGAATAGGATACACCTAGAACTGGAAATACCTAATACAAAAATTTGAAATTTATATTTGTAGTTAAGGAAGAGATGAATTATTTTTCTGTTTTCCAAATTTTGTATTTTTTGTAAAGTTGTCAACCTCCGTGTTAGGAATCACTCGTTGAAAGGTAAGACCTCGTTAATTCTAAGTTCGCACAAGTTTCAACTTTTGAGAGTTGTTGTTCGTAGGGGATGACAGCTGGTTAACAAAAAAACAGATTTTTTAACAGGCAGAAAACAATCTAACAAGGTGTTGAGGCAGTTTCTATCTCGAAAAGTTCTTCGAATGGATAAATTAAATTAAATTTTTGAATCTTTTAGTTTTGTCGCCATTTCACTTGATTATATGTGTTACAAATTCATTATTTTGTACCGAAAAATCAAATTCTTTCAAAATCTGACTTCCACAATATTTCCTTTCAGAGTGTGGCTTCCACAGCATTTCATTTTCTCTCATATGGTAGATCAGCCTCATTAGCAACATTTTCATTATTCCTCGGAATAACTTCATCATAATCAGAATTTGAAAAATATTTTTTCTATTTTGACTGATTGGTGTATGGCACTAGTAGAACTGATCGCAGATACAAAAACGTGATGGATACTACTACATGAGTTTCCTCTGTGATAATCCATTAAAAATTAAAAAAACAATTTTGGTTAATTGATGAGCTCATCGGTGAATTTAGGAATTTGCCCTAATATTGATGACACTCAAAATTTGACAATGACCTGACTTTTGACATCTGACATTATGATGATACATAACATGTCATATTTCATATTAGACAAGTAAGTAGGGTGTTGTGAATATTTTAGAAAATAAAATTTTAATTTATTTACAACTATGGGAATTGGAAATTGTTTCGAAAATGTTAATATGCCATCATGCATATGGTTTGATGGAGGCGACAAGAGGAACGCCTATGCTTCTATGTTGGCAGGATTTTTGGTAAACCTTTTGTTGGCATTGTTAACAGATATAAAATCGCAACTTATTTCAGTTCTTTGCTGGATGGTGGGCAGTAATTGATGCAGCAAGCGTGCATGGAAAGATACTAGCTGGATATCACATGTGTGGAGTAGTTGGTACAATATCTCTCGTAATGGTCAACTCTGTTTCGAATGCTCAGGTTAGCTGATGCTAATTCCTGTACTACTCAGAGGAAAAAAAGATTATCGAGTCCCGTCTATCCTTCATATCAGAGAGTTGTTTGTTTGTACAGAAACTTTATCATTTTTCAATAATATACATTAGGCTTGTGTATGAAACTTGAGGTTTTATTGGTCTTTCCAAATGTATACTTAATGATAAAAAATCATTCCAGTTGTTTGAAAAATGTGATCTATAACAGTGCTTCAATTTTGAATGGGTCACACTGTGTATATGGATATTCTGGACTATTATCTAGAAATGTAATTCTTGAGAACATACTTGTAGATTTCTTTTCTTTTTCTTTCACTCATCAGTATTTTTTGGTTTAATAAAAACCCAGTAATCAGTATCAGCTATTGATGTATATTTTTTCTCTGAGGTGTACTTTACCAATACATTGAAATTAATTTTCAATTTACAACAAACTGAGAATATGTATTATCACTAGATGAGAGGAGATGTCTATGAAGGTGGATGTTTAGGTCCCAGAGGCACTAAAATCTGGTTGTTTTTGGGATTTGTGATGGGCTTCGCTTCAGTTATCGCATCTTGCTGGATTCTTTTTGCAGATTTCATGGAGGAAGGTGGGTAACAGTAAAAATATTTATGTGAATAATGAGCACAATCTCTTTTTTTTTTTTTTATAGGTTATCGTTGGTCAGGAGTAGCGCTGTTTCTTCAAAATGCTCTCATTTTCATTTCTTCAATTATCTACAAGTTTGGAAGATCTGAAGATATTTGGGGGTGATTATTCTCGAAATTTTGTATTAATCTTATGAATTTCAAGTTGTGATAGTTTAGTTGTATTATTTATTTACAGCTTCATTTAATAAGTTTAATATATAATTTTTCAATTATTTGTAACCTAACTAATACAAATAAAAATAATTTTTAATGTATTTTATTTTTCAGAACTCTCCTATTAAGTTTTTATTATTTATGAATTCACATTCCTTAGAAATTCGATACAATTTAATCTTTTGAGTGAAAAAACGTTTGCTTCCATATCCTCATTTTCTCAACTTTGATTTTTTTTTTATTTCAAGCAGAACACATTTAAAAGAGGAAGAATCTTCTGTTTGGCCCTTTGCTAAGAATTTTACCCACAACAAAGTGTGAAAATTGCTTTGGAATTACAAATAAAACTTCAATTTCTTCCTAATACAAAGTTGAAAATGCCAAATTTTTAGCCCCGCCAAAAAACGTACCTCTGGCGGACAAAAAGTGCGTTACCTCCCACAGACAGTATGTCGTGTAAATTATAGTATCCGATCTTTTCATAGATTATTGTTGAGATGAACAATTGAAACATTTTTTCTATTATTAATATAATTATTGTAATGATTGTTGTAGAGTTTTTCTAAATCATTATTCAAATCAAGTTGAAATTGTCAACTAAGCTTCTCATTTCATCCGAATGGTTTAACTCTTATTTGAGACAATATTGATAATGCAGGTAGATAATGACAGTGAAAACTTTGTTTATGAGTGAGCCTTGCATGTCCCTTACGAATGGTTACTTTTTGTTGCCGTCATCTTTATAGAAAACGCCCTCACCGATCTACTACTTCCCTACCCAAAAACTCAGTGTTGTTTAATTAATTACAGAATAGTGTAAATATCCCCTATTATTCAGATCTTATTTTAAAGCATGGGGTATTTCCATGTTTTCAAGATTAATCGTTTCGTTTGGTAAAACCAGTGCACATTCAGTGTAATTCTATTCTTTATTATTGTATCAAAAAGTAGAGAACAAAGATACTTTAAATATGCACTTGTTTCATAAAAAAAACTGCTAGAAATTTATATATAAAAAAGTTACCTATAAAAATGAATTTCTCTGTGCATGATTCCCGTGAATCACGCCGAATTTTATATGTCAAACAGGTTATGTCACAGTATTTCTGTATATACAAAATACTGTGGTTATGTTGTCATTAATTTCCTCAGAGTTAATTTCTGATATCAAGAATTTGGAGCCAGGACTATCATAGCTGTTATTTTTTTTAGATAGGGGTGTTGTTATTTTATATAAAAAAACGCAATAAGTCATGGATAATTGTTTTGAAAATGTCAACATGCCCACATGTATATGGTTTACCACAGATGACAAGAGAAATGTCTATGCCTCAATGTTAGCAGGATTTCTGGTGAGCTCTCTTAGCATTGTCGACATTCTCAACAGCAAAAAATCCATCTCAGTTTTTCACAGGATGGTGGTTTTTAATAGATGCTACCAGCATATGTGGAAATATACTACCAGGGTATCACATGTGTGGAGTATTGGGGACAATATCCCTAATAATGGTTAACTCCGTTTCAAATGCTCAGGTAAGAATGTCAGTTTCATACAAACATTTACTGATAAAGTAGTTAGTACTATTGGGAATTACCACCTTTCACGAAAGAAGTTAACATATGCAAGTAAACTAGGAATCTTAAGGGCGAGTAGGCAAGTTAAGCCCTAGTAGATAACTTACAAAGGTTGATAAGAGAAAATACATTCATAATACAGGATAATGACCAACATATAGGTTAAAATGCATTTTCCTGTTAACTGACTGTTGTCCTTTCATGACAAGCTTCTGAACTGGAAACCTGTGCGTGCTAAGAATTGAACTGGTCTTACTTTTTCTATCATGCGATTCCTAGCATAGGTCACATGATACAAAATTAACAGAGATCCTTCCAGAATTGGGATCAAACAACTTTTACAACGATGATGGTTTCCTGAGGAGTACTACCTACACTTCAGGTGAAGTTTACTCACAACAAGGATCTATGGAATCTTCACAAGGCTGTTTTCTCTGTTACAAAATGCAATTTTATGAGGTGAATATTTATCTATCTTCACTTGGTGATGGAATGTATAGAAACCATGACTGAAATCATTATGAATTTCCAACCGACACATTACTGACAACCTTGTTTACAAGATTTCTTGCACCACGGGAAAAAATTTGTGCCAATAGAAAGAACACCTTCAGATGATTGAAGATTTCTAAATCGACATTATTGGTTACAGAAATTAGGACATCAAAGGCTCCATCATCAATTGATATTCTTCAGATAAAGTATCTAATTAAAGCACTCGTAGATCGAATTGAATCATTCTTTTTCCAGCAAAAATTGATAGCTACCTGAAAATGAAAATAACAAAAGTGCTGCTTTCCTACTACTGTCTACCTTTGATTCAAAAACTCATTCATAACTAATATATATTAATGACAGAGTTGTAATACTCATTTTCATTATGTAGCTGAGGGGAGACTACTATGATGGTGGCTGTTTAGGTTCTCAAGGAACCAAAATCTGGTTGTTTTTGGGGTTCTTATTGGGCTTTGCTTCCATGATTGCCTCCTGTGGAATACTCTTCAAAGGCTTCACAAAAGGTAGGTGAAAATGCACGCATTTTGCATTTTCTCAACTGATTTATTTTCCAGGTTGCCAGTGGTCAGGCGTAGCTGTCGTACTTCAGAACGCTCTCATTTTGATCTCTTCTATGGTTTACAAATTTGTTAGATCAGAAGATATATGAGGACAGTTACACAGCTTTACATATGAAATTGAAGACAATATTAGTGTTAAGTTTTCAACAGTTTTACTAATCTTGATGTAATAAAACTCCTAAAAATGTTGTATTTTATATTGACATATTTCTGTGATAAATAGAAAAAACATTCAGATTCATGACTTCATTTTGTATATTATTTAACATTGATTAAAATACAATGGACACAAGTACCTTAAGTTTAATCTCGTCATGAAGTTAATACGATCTAGTTAATTTCGTTAAATGCCTTTTAACGTAAAGCAATTGTGCTTCACTCTCTAACTTAGTCAATTCCTTGACTATAGGAGCCATCTGGGCAGTGTGATTTTCATAATTTGAACCCATACCTTTTCGTTTTTCACCGTAAACGACTTTACCATCAAAATCGTCATGTGGAACCACTATATCGGGCCCTATTTGCTGGATTGTCACATTCAAATGTTCCTCAATGTCGGCGATGAACTGAAAAATAATTCGGTCAATATTCTGTTGAGACTTTTAAGACACGAAAAGACATACTTGAGGTTCATTGTACCATATACAGCATCCTTTGACATCTGTCAAATTGGTGTTCCAACAGTTTCTTCCTCTCGTTTTGCACCATTCCCCATGGTACCAGACCTGTAAGAGGTTACTTGAAAAAAAAATTCAAATTTTCCTAAGCCTTGATCTGCTTACCTTTTCCGGTACAGTACTGACTAAGCTGATGGCCAATCCCATTCTTTCGGCCCGTCCAACACGACCGATTCTATGAACGTAATTCGATTTTTCATCGGGAAGTGTTACATTGATCACTAAAAACAAANCACTTATCGATATTTAAGAACATTTTGTTACTTTCAAACCACCTGCAAACCGAATCAAGATCTTCCTGCAATTTCATGCAGTCTTCTAGGCACGTTATTAGGTAATGAGAAACAATCTAGAAGTTGTTGATAATTTCAACAGCTTTTTCACCCATTATACTGAACAAAAGGAAACTGATTCTGACTTTGCAGAAAATAGTAACTCTATTTTTTCCATCCAATTATTGAACACGACTTCTGAGTAATGGTTAAAGAAAGATTCAAACAATTCTAATACTAATGATTAAGGCACCAAAAAATTATACAGAATTGGCTCTCCTCTACTTTTTCCAATTAATTTTTTGACGGTACATGGTTTTTTCCTAAACAATCGATATCTGCACTCCAAAGTGTTTCTTGAATATGTTACGGTATCACATCTGATTGAGTAGTGAGCTAGCTGATATTTGCCACAAGATGGTAATTTCATCTGCAAATACTATAAAAGTACTCAATATTCATAACGATAATTGAAGTCGTAACGAAAATACTGAACCAAATACTGAAACCTGTAGTACCCTACTGAATCAGGCTTTTTAGAGTTCGGCAGAGCCTTACTCTTACCGTCTGACATGAAAGACCACTCACCATACAAATTAATCGGGTTCGTTAAGAAGCTGGGTTTATTTGGTCGAGTGAGCCAACCAATAGGTGTGAGCCACAATAAACCCTTGCGGGTTGCAGATGGGTGGTCGAATAGACCCACTCTCTTTGGACTCAAACCTAAAACTACAGTATTATCTAACCTTAATGGGTTGCTTTATGTTCTGTTCTGACTAGTCTGATAAAGGTTTATATCTGTATGTACCACATGTATAAAATTTTTAATGATGAATAAATTTGTATTCTACTAAATTGAATTAGTAAAATTTTTGATAGAGATAAGTTTGAACCTTGAGAAATACTAATTAAATAAATTATACACTTTTTAGAAATGTAAAAAATATCAAGTAAGAATGAAGAGCATAGAAACAAAGGCTCGGACACAGTAAACCTAAACATAAAAGCTATTTTGTTTTCTTTGCAGGCTAATACAATTAGATGTTTTGGATTAACTGAATAAGAACACAATAATCCCTAAACAATGAGACCATGAGCAACCCCACATAGAAAAAAATGAAATAGTCTCCAAGAAGTAGAATATTAAAGAATGAAAACTTACTGAAAGGCAACCCTGTTATGTCTAGACCTCTAGCTGCCACATCGGTACAGATGAGGAATTTAACTTGCCCTTTTTTGAATGATTCTAAATTAGCTTTCCTTTCATGCGGCTTTCTATCACCATGAAGGCACACGCAAGAATAATGATTTCTGTCGATCTGCTTCATGTATTTTTCTAGATTGTCGCAATCTAGTTTGGTTCGACAGAATATGATAGCTCGGTCCATGTTGTGAACATCAATGGCTCGAATCGTATATTCTCCTGCAAAAAATTGAAAAGAGTGTTGATTGCTTTCGTTTCGGGTTCAAGCAAATTCTTGTATCTTGGATGTTTTTGTCTACTGAATTACGAACTGAGACTCACGTCTTCAGTAAAAGATGTATTTACTAAAATTGATACAAATTTGTCGGTTCTCATATTCTCTCTTATAATATGGAATCATGTCGAAGTTATTTGTTTGCATGATCTACAAATCATTGTAAGGAGTAACCAGTTTATATAAAATAATAGAATTATAAAATAAATTCATCAATACTACAAATATTTTTCTCAACAAGTTATGCTTTAAGTCTGGATTTGAAAATATTAATATTTGGAGATTTTTGGATAGTCATAAAGTTGTTTAAAATTTTGTATCCCAAATATAAAGGACTTTTTGGTATAGGTATATTTTAGTTCTATGCAAATTGGACACTAGTAGATTTCTGGATCTTGTGGCATACCGATTATTTGTTCTATTGAAAAATTTGTCATTATGTCTATATACATGAATACAGAATTCATACAGATACAAGTCTGTCACATTTAAAATCTTTTAGTCACTTAAAGGCCTCTCTACATGACTGCCTCCACTTATATATGAAAGTACAAGACTCATTTTTAAATACGAAAACGAAATCAAGAAAGTTCAAAAACGTTTTCTCTACTCTACTATAAAAAAAAGTTTACAAACTTGATGGTCTGTAAAAGCTATTGCTTATTGAATTTAAATTGAAAAAGTTGGAAATTGTAAGAACATTGTCAGCTATAATTTTAGTACCACCATTTCTAACGAATCTACTTTTTTTAGTTCTTCGTTATTATGGGAAAAAGAAAAATTTACTTTATGCTGTCTCAACTTCTCATCCAAATTAGATGAAAATGCTGTCATTTATCGTATCTGTTCATTAGCTATTCAAAACATAGTTAACATAGACATTTTTGAATAAATAATCAGTATACAGGGTGTTCCTTAATAATATGTGAATATTCAAGAGTGTAAAAAAATAATGATAGGTTGCTATATGGTTCAAAATGCTTATCCATTAGCATCAAATGTAAGAAGGTTGAAATTTTGCTCATGTTAATCAAGGCAAAGACAATTTTACTTTTTTGGTATAGAAATCCTTATACAATATACAATTTTTAATCACATTGTCGATATAGCAACATCGAATTTGCTTAAATTCTGCCAGCTCTTATCTTGCTGGGGATCAACGTTAACGACAACATGGTGGACAGTTTCAGGTACCGCGTCCTCTCCTTTAAGATCCACCCAGGTAGGAAAATACATCAGCTTTTCCTAGAAAGAAGATCAATAATTGCTCTTATTTGTTCGTTATAAGTGGTGACTTACGGCCATTTTTTTAACTTCGAAAGCATGAAGGGTAGCACTGCAAACAATCATTTGCAGCCTACGTCCGTCGGAGGTGATTTTGGGCATCTCTCTGTGCAGTCTTTCGATTAGATCAGTGTAACCCTGCTTCAACAATCCATCGGCCTCGTCGAGCACAAAGAACCTACAGTTTGCCAATGATAGATAACCTGAAACAGATAGTTTATACAAATCGAAGATAATAATAATAATCTGCCCGACCTCCTTGAATCAGATCTTCCAATCTTCCAGGGGTACCTACAATGATGTCGGCCCCTGTGTTTTGTAAAAATGATATTTGCTCCTTTACGTTTACTCCTCCAATTACTAGCAGCTCACGAATTTTAGGGTCTTCTAGATATTTCTTGAACTTCTGTATTTGGTTACTGGTTTGTTCAGCCAGTTCTCTGGATGGCTAAGGTGAAAGTGTTAATTAATCAATCAGTTAATTTGCTGAATATTTCATTATAGTTGATTTACCAACTTCAAGTTGAAATTAAACTTGAAAAAATATGATACCTCATACATTATTATAAAATTCGAATTTGAGCCAATAAATCCATAATAAAATCTTAGTTTATTCATAATTAGGTATATATTTGAAGTATTAATGTATTTTTTCATAACATAACAGAAGTTTGCTAAACACGCAAAATACTTCCAACTTTTATGTCTCTCGCCAACAAACTAAATATTTTCAACAGCTGAAGCTGTAAACATATGTTCGAAACAATTGTACCAACATAAATAAAATCTAATCGAATATACTTTCTTGAAATGAAAATCCTCCACAAAAACCTTGTATTGGACAATTTAAGTAATTGTGAAACACAATCACTGTGAACTATGGTGATACATTCATGTAATTACAACTGTGCTTTAATTCCGTAGTTTGATCCTAACCTCGATAATTATCGCCTGAGGTGCATTATTGATCAGTTTTGTTGCTGCTGCACCAGCTCCCCCCTGTCCGTTGGTGTTTGAAACAACCTTGTCAGCTGCTGCAGAATTGACAGGCTGGTAACCATTCGGTAAGCTGTGTTTGAAGGGTTTGTCTCCAAAATTGAAAGCCATTTCAGCATTCTACAAAAAAAAGCCTCATACATTAACACATTCAAAGTTAAACTTCTTTCTTACTTTCAAGACAACTGCAGGGAACAAACCGTCGCCAATGATTTTCTTATCAGCACGAAATGCAACTCCAAGATCCACACCATTTTTCAAAAATTTGATTTCTCCACTATCTCCGTCCAACAGGCATGTTATCACATCACTTTTTCCAAATGGTTCTCCATAATTGTCGAACTGCTTATTGTTTGACTTCTTTCCTGTGCCTCCAAAACCATATCCAAACCTTGAATTTATTTTCATAAATATATCTTTACGAATATTTCATATGTCACAAATCTTTATCAACATTATATATGTACATAAGAATGTAAAGAAATAAAATAACAGATGTAGATAGAAAGGAAAAATGTCAAATTTCAAGAATTACATATTAATGTTGGAATTAATCTTACATTGACATGAATACATATATACAAACTCAAAAAACTCTGGGTCTGAACTCAATTTTTAACTGGAGTGGCGTCATAAAATATCAGCATCACTTATATCTAATATTGATCCTGTTGAAGACAAACTTACTTGAAAGAAATTAAACAAAGTTATTTAAAGAAAACCTACAAAATTATATAGATACAATTAATACCACTTTGAACTTCAGCACTTCAATTTAAAAAAGTAAAAGAGGCATAGGTTATATTCAAAATACTAATATCACTTTAGTATTACTAATTATAATGAAGGAAAAGCCATCAGAATTACATTAAAAAATCAAAATCTATCAACATACTTCCGTGAGAAAGTATACAGAACATTTCATTATGCTTAGTTTGCATATTCCTTTCCTATTTATTTTTAGTTATATCCACAAAAGATAATCACCAGAAAGAAAATAAGATCTCACAACACACAGTTTACGAAACCACAGAAGGCGTTTCACTATACAAAAGGTTCCTCAGACCATATTAATAAAAATATAAGACATACCTGTCAGTCCCAAGGTCTAAATTTGCCTGCAAGGAGGACCAGCCTACTCTACATAAACCCTCGTCTGTAACAGTAGCTTCGAAGCCCCATTTGCCAGATTTGACACCTCTTGTGCACCTAACCCCATGCCACTCTTTCTGCTCTCGTGATTGAACCCTCAGACCATCGGGGGAGACTGCTAGAGCATTCCCTCTATCTAGAGTCGACATTGTCCATGGCGGAGCTAAAATACAGAGATTACATATTAAACCAATTGAATAACTTCATTCATAGTTTATCGTACACATGCTCTCTGTTGCTGCCTTGGCAGCTTTTCCCGACTGGATGTCCTTTATAGTCTCCCATACTATCTGTATAACTGGTAAACAAAACGCAGCAGTTTTTCCACTGCCGGTTTCTGCAGCCATAAGAACATCTCCGCCTCCTAGGACAAGGGGTATGCCTTCAGCCTGAATATCTGTTGGTAGTCTGTAACGAGAATGCGATTAAACAAATTTACTGGGATGTGTTTATTTTGAAACTAACGTCCAATCTAGTTCTTCTAGAGCCTTGGCAATTTCTGGGAGAACCCCAAATTCTAAAAAAATATACAATTAGAATTTGAAATAAAAAGTATACCATTCACAATTATTTACCTTCAAAAGCGGTCATGGTTATTATAAAGTTTTTTGCAACCGATTTGTGATAAATTTACCGGTAAACAAAAATTACACAAAACCCACTTAGTAACGCCACTGATTGACAAGTGACAAGGTGTATAACGTGAAGTGACACATAACTGTCATGTCAGTGGCGCAGTAAAATATTGAATCATAATGTGGCTGTTTTGTGATCATAATATTTATGATTGTGTAATAACTAATATATGTTGAAAGAAAATAAGTGGAGAACAAAAAGTGTTATGTTGGCGTGAAATCATTTGTATTCGTTTAAAAACATTGTATTTTTTATTGAAATAATGTCGACTCTGACGTCATATCTGTGGAATAATGAAATAATTTCAAAACTATCTCCAAAACAAAGGGCATAGGGTTCTGTCATTAATTTTGCCAGTTAAACATAATGACATCATATCAATGAGGATTGGTGTATGCGTGTGCTTCCTCAACAATCATCATTTTTCAGACGTCGTCACATGTATTTTGGGCTAAAAAACTTGGCTTGAATAATTACAGTAAATAGCATCAACATTTTAGCTGAACTTTATTTTTTTGCCGAACTTTTTAAGTTCGGCAAAAATCTATGATTTTCGTGACTCTTCTTCGCGTTCGTAAGAATACGCCTCTGAAGTAATTAAATAATTTCGAAACCATCTTTGCCAGAAAAATATAGCTCATCTCACGTCATTTGTCAAAAGTTTTTTCTCTCTCTCTCTATGTTTTTGGCTTTTGCTTCCATTCAGGCGCATTAGATGGCGCATTAGGCCTTATGTCAAAAGTATACATGACAGATGATGCTATCAACTGTGGGATCTTTGTAGTTTTTAGGCGAGTTCAACAAAATTTCCGATGGATTGCTTCAACCAATAGAAACGCGACAGCGTTTCTAGTGAACCAATAGAATCTAACGTATCAATTGATTTGAGAACGTGCCTCTTGTTTTGTTATTATTTTGTCTATTGTTGAATATTTATTAGCAATTTTAATAAACTTGGCTTGAATAATTACAGTAAATAGCATCAACATTTTAGCTGAACTTTATTTTTTTGCCAAACTTTTTAAGTTCGGCAAAAAACTATGATTTTCATGACCCTTCTTCGCTTTCGTAAGAATACGCCTCTGAAGTAATTAAATAATTTCGAAACCATCTTTGCCAGAAAAATATAGCTCATCTCACGTCATTTGTCAAAAGTTTTCTCTCTCTCTCTGTTTTTGGCTTTTGCTTCCATTCAAGCGCATTAGATGGCGCATTTAGCCTTATGTCAAAAGTATACGACAGATGATGCTATCAACTGTCGGATCTTGTAGTTTTTAGGCGAGTTCAACAAAATTTCCGATGGATTGCTTCAACCAATAGAAACGCGACAGCGTTTTTAGAGAACCAATAGAATCTAACGTATCAATTGATTTGAGAACGTGCCTCTTGTTTTGTTATTATTTTGTCTATTCTTGTTGAGTATTTATTAGCAATTTTAAACATTACATGTTACAAAATTTTAAATTATTGAAATGAAATTTGAAAATCCTGTACTACATTTGATATGAGTAATCAATTAAACCAATCTATGTAAGAGACTTTTCATTTACATGAACTATAATCTCATTTTAAAGAATTTCTAGATATTTGAACTTGTCAAGAGATCCAGAATCTGAAGGATTTGACTTGCAAGCGGGTCAGTCATGGATTTATCCCACAAATTACCCTGTTCGAGATTATCAATACAATATTATACAAAAGGCATTACTTAAAAATACCCTGGTAAATATATTAGAAATATTTGTTGGGAAAACCCCAAAAGCAATGTCTTATTTTGCAGGTGAGCTTGCCTACAGGTTTGGGAAAAACTTTCATAGCTGCTGTTGTTATGTATAATTATTTTCGTTGGTACCCTCAAGGAAAGGTAGTTTTTATGGCACCCACAAGACCTTTAGTCAAACAGCAAGTTGACGCATGTTATGATATCATGGCCATACCTAAGGAAGTTACTGCTGAACTCACAGGTTTGTAGTAGCTGCGAAAATAAAAGTTCATTTTCCCGACTTTCCCTAGTTGAAAAAAATTTATTAGACGTGTATTTATTTTCTACTGATCACAAATCTGAAGTCAAAACCTCTCGATATGAGGGACCCCCAGTCCCAGAAAAATATAAATTTTTCAATAAAACTAACTGAGTCGAAAAATATTTACCGCTTGTTGCCTAATTGGAGTTTCTATTGGGAAATATTTGCAGGTTCACAGGTTTCTAATAGTAGAAAAGATATTTGGGATGAAAAAAGGGTATTCTTCATCACTCCACAGATCCTTCAGAACGACTTGGATAAATTTCAAGATCTAGGAACAAAAATCAAGTGTGTAGTCTTTGATGAAGCACACAGAGCTAAAGGAAATCACGCGTATTGCGAGGTTATACGGAAGCTTGTTGCGACCAACAAGTATTTCCGAGTTTTGGCTTTAAGTGCCACTCCTGGTGGAACAATAAACGATGTGTTGGAGGTAAGCAGTAATTTTACTGGTGTTTCATAATGATAATAACAATAATGGAAGTTATTCATGAATATACATGACCGCTATAAATACAATCTATTATAACAATAAATAAACAAATACAATCTTTCAAAGATAACAAATTGAGTATTCAAAAAAAAACTTTATCGAGAGATACAATGGCTTCTTTGGGCGTGTCTTTACTCGTCTGGGAAATTTTCAGTTTTTTTGCCACACCAATCACTGATAATATGTTTGTGCTTTCTGCTTCAAACTTTCCCATGTTTCTGGAGTATATGTAATAATTGTATAATTAGCAAACTAACTAATTTTACCTTCAGATTTCAAACAAATAGCTCGTTAACATTAATATTGAACAAAATAGGTCCCGATACAGAACCTTGTGGCACCCCATACTTGAGTTCCCATTGATATTAACTTGTTAAATTCTGTTGGATCAAGTGTATTTTCAATAGATTATAAACAATGGTTGACTGTATCAATTGCTTTGCATAAATTACGAAATATGAACAGATTTATTTTTTTTATTCTGAACATTCACAATTATTATATGAATGTATCACTGTTTGTATCATATACTACTGTATTACTCTGCTGATTGTATATGCTATTCGTTATATTCCATTGTACTCATACTTAGTCATAGCCGTAATTATATTTGTCTTGTAATTGGGATTACTCCTGTTAGACAATAAACCTTTTTTTTTTTTTCATTATTATTTATCACATGGCTATATTGAATCACATATAAGGTATCTCATACCATGTTAGGGCAATACATTACAACAATTAATTACCAAACTAGGAAGAGCGCAAAAGAAATGAATAAAAACTGTACAACTTGTATCGACCAACTTCAACAAATATTATTTATGAAATAACGGGATTCATGAAAATAGAAGAAATCATTACACTTGAACAAGTTAAACTTATACATTGAATCTTGAATAAATACATCTTATGTAATACCACCATGGAAATAAATAACTACAAGATTATATTAATCAAAAAATACTTTGTAGACCATAACACCATATCTATTCTGATTACTGGCCAATTATATGTTTATAAATAGATATTGCTTCCGTGTTGAGATAATGTTCAACTTGAATACAATTTTTCAGGTTGTGCGAAATTTATTGATTTCCCATTTAGAGTTCCGGATTGAAGAAAGTCTGGATGTTAGTCCTTATGTCTTCCAAAGAAACCTTACCACTGTTGTAGTTCCTCTTGGTGAGAAATTGCAAGAAGTGAAAGATAAATATTTAAAAGTAATTTCCAAGTTTTTTATATGTATTTTGACGATGTATTAACGACAGTTCTGCCTTAGGTATTGGATTATTACACGAGGAGTCTGGTAAAGTACAAAGTCATTCCAGGAAATTATTTAAACTTAACTAAAGGAAAAATCTTCATGACGATGAGGGAATTTCAGGCAAAATCCAAAAGTTCAAGGTATGAATAATGTCATTTTTGCACTCATCGTATGAATCTCATACGATGAGTGCATACGTCAATGATCTATCGGAATATATGAGTGATTGCTATTTAACTATGTTCGCTGACGACACCACCATTACAGTCGCTGGACCTACTACAGATGATTTGCTAACAAAAGTTCCAAAAGTTCAAGGTATGAATAATGTCATTTTTGCACTCATCGAATGAATCTCATATTTTCACATTTGTTTTAGTTCGAATTATTCGGAAATAACGAAATGTCTGACAGTTTGTATCACTTTGTATCACGCACTCGAACTCCTGGTGAGGCATGGTCTCAGAAGTTTCTTGAATTTTTTCGAAGGTAAGTTTGTTCAGTCGATAACTTCTTATTTGATATTTCTAGTGCGTGTCAAAAATTTTATTGTGTGGTACTCTCTTGCCATATCAATATTACATAATATCAATTGCAGTACTTAGAAGCTTCTAAATATTGACCTTTGCGAAATCATATTGAAAACAACTCCATCTAGTGTTTTTTTTTAGAACACATTGATAAGCCGATATTGACAGATAAAAAGGGAGTTTATGAAATAATGCAGGATTTGAGGGAATATTTAGGTCCGCCTCTGTCTCTTGAATTGATGCCCGACGGAAGTTACCCGGAAGTAGGTAAAATTGACCTTCTTTAACTATCTCTTCCTTCTCAAAGTTATATGAAGGACTAGAGTTTTCTTTATCTACAAACAAGAAATTTGAAAGTTTGTAGGAATTTATGTATTTCAACTAGGTACTTACATTTAGATTATATTTTTGAAGCTACCCAAAGACGTGAAGTTTGGCCATCCAAAGTTTTACAAACTACGTGACATTTTACTGGAACACTTCAAAGAAACAGATGGTACTAGTAGGGTGATAGTTTTTTTCGAATACAGAGATTCTACGAAAGAAGCATATGCTCTTCTCCTCCAGTCCAGACCTATTTTGAAACCAAGAATTTTTCTCGGCCATAGCAAAGGTGTCACTCAACGTCAGCAAATAAATGTAAGTATAATAATGATAATAATAGTAATTTTTAGGCTACCATAGTACAATGTGTACAAATGGTAAGTCCACTAATTTCCACACCTAAAACTTAGGTGAAATATAGTTTAAAAACACTGAACATAAATAAATTAGTTGGAAAACCTTATAGGTTTAAAAATACATTTGGAAAAACGTTTTTGATTGAAGTTTTTATTAATTCTTTCTATATTTTTTAAACAAAATCATCTAAACAAAAACATCTGGCAACATACTCCATTTGAAGGAAATTGCAGGCACTACATTACACCCCCCCCCCTTAATGAGTCAAGTTTTCACAATTCAAAAAAGAACAGTGAGATTCACTACCAGAGCTAGAGTCCAAGATTCCTGTGAGCCCCTTTTTTTAACTCATCACATCTCAACAGTCTACTGCTTCTTAATTTTAGAAACAGTCTGTCTAATGTACAAAAAGCATAAAGATAACATCTCAAACAGCACAAATTAAAAACTATTCTTTATAATAGTAAAAAATATTTCAATCATCTCCCCTTTTTAATCAGAAAGTTAACATGCTACAAACAGTTTTGAAAAAGAGTAAAAAACCTTCTGCTAGATAAAGCTTATTATAGTATTGAGGAATTTCTTTCGGATGACTTCGCTACTTATAATTGCAACCTATAAAATTGTTTATCACAGACTTTTACCATAGACTTTTTGAAGTGTCATATTAATATCTTGTTTTAATTCTTGACCTTTATTTTAATGTTTCTGATTGTTTTAGTTCTTAAGCCTGCTTTGTTAACAAAACCTAAACTTTTATGACAATAAAGTATTGATGACTCTGACTCTATATTTAATGAAATTCTTTATGTGTAGTTAATGTTCTTTATGTGTAATTAACGTTCTTTGTATGTAATTGAATTTCCTTATGTTAAATTACAGTTCTTTATGTATAATTAAAATTCTTTATGTATTCAGAAGTTTCCCACAATGTTTTTGTTTGTATAAAGATGGAAATGTGAAAGTTAGAAAGCTTTTTTACCATAATTGAAGTTCTTTATGTATCTGGGCAAGCAGTCATGAATTGTTCTTTCACTGAAGAATAATGATCTGTCACCAACTTTTCATTTAAAAAGTTTTTGAAAACTTCAATTTTTTTAGGTAGTAAAATCTTTCAGAGAGGGTACCTGTAACATTTTGCTGTCAACAAGTATTGGAGAAGAAGGGCTCGATGTTGGAGAAGTCGATTTGATTATATGCTTTGACATTTCCAACAAATCTCCCATTCGTATGGTACAGAGGATGGGACGAACTGGCAGGAAAAAGAAGGGTACGTGTCACAGAAAACAATAATATTAACGATTAATTTTCCCAAGAAACATACAAGTTTATATATAACATAACTAAGTACTCAAAAATAGTAATTTCTGAAGAATCTTTTGTATGTTTCAGGTAAGATTGTGGTTTTGGTGACCGAGGGGAAGGAGCAACAAACTCTTAAAGACTGCCTCATCCATAAAAACAATGTAGCATCTCATGTTTTGTCTTCGCGGGAACTGGCCAAGGGGTTAATTGAGACTTGTCCGAGATTGGTGCCGGCAAATATTTCTCCTAAGTGCGAGAAGATGTTTATTACTGTCAGGAAACCTGTGTTGAAGAGAAACAGTTCTCTGAAGGTGAATAGTTTATTCTAGATCATGAAGTTCGTATAAATTTATATTTGATTGGTTGATTCGTGTATTAAAATGTTTCACTTGTAAATATTGGTGTATGAATCGTTCGTAAGTTCCAGCACATGTTTAGTATTTATTGAATAGAACATTTTGTCTGTTGTCAGTAATGAATAGATTATTGATTTTTAAATTTCAGGCAGTTTAGTGTCTATATATTTTGAATATAATAAGTAATATGAGAATTCACCTTTGATTTTTGCAATAAAGTATAATACAGAATAATAATATTCTGTATTATACTTATATTATTATTATATAATAATATAATAAAGTATATACTTTATAATCAATTCTGTTTATATCTTCCGTATGAAAAAGTTAGACGAAGCCATGTCTGGCGAATATGGAGGCTGGAAATTGATTTTCCACAAATTCTGACAAAGTAAAATAAAAATACAATCAAAATAAACAATGTTGGTTCTAGGATATGTTTCGAGCTGTTTCAAGTAGTTCGTCTGAGCCATCTTTTACACCCGATCTGGAAATTGTTGATATTCAAGAAAGAATCCCTCCTTCAACAATGCTGTTCAACAAAGGTATTTATGCAGAATAAAAACCTACTGAAATGGTCTCGAAGTCTTGATTACTTTTTTAGAAAACCCTCTAGCCAAGGATTCCCCCTTCTCTACAATCTTCAGCAAGAGAATTGAAAAACAAAGGAGTTTTCAAGAAATCTATAAAGTTCAGCATTCTAAAAGTTCAGAAATTCTCGTTGGGTTATTGCAGCTGGCTGATTCTAAACGGTTCAACATTCCAATGTCTCAAATGGGTATGTAAAGCAAGAAAAATGTCAACTGTCAAATTAGAAACTGTATTGGTAGTATTCTTTCAAATTATACTTTTCTGAAGTTCATATTATGAACTACATCTTCTATATACGTTGAATGGCGATTGAATATTTTTAACCAATTGAAAAGAAGAGAATCTCTAGTAAGATTGCCACCCTTTTTTGTGTAAAGATGAAGAAGTGGAAGGCCAGTCTATACGAAGTCGATCCGAACAGCTAATTAAAGATTAATGACATTACTCTTTACTACTAATAAAAAAAATCCGTGTAGGTTTATGAAAAATTAAATTAATTTTGAAAAAAATTATACTACGCTGCCCATGCCATACAAAAAACTGCCGAAGTTTGGTAACCGTTGCTTTACCATAATGTACATTGGCCTGTAAAGTCTGTAAATCACTCGACTTTATTGGCTAAATTAGATTTCTATGGAGTGAGAGGTGTCTGCCTGAACATGATGAAGTCATACCTTAACGAGAGATATCAAATTGTTGATCTAGGAAATACCAAAAGTGAAAAAAGCAAAATATTAAGAGGGGTGCCACAAGGGTCAATATTGGGCCACTTCTGTTTCCAATCTATATCATCGACCTGCCTCACGTGATGAACTCGTCAGACATAGAAACTATATTGTATGCAGATGATGCAAATTTGGGCAAAAAAAATATATAAAATAGATGATCCTCATATGACCCATACTGGCATATTAGAGAAAGCTCGATCATGGTTCACACCAAATGACTTGATTCTCAATGAATAAAAAACAGAAACTCTAACTTTTGAAACAATTTGTTTAAATCAAGATAACAAAAATTCTACCAAATCTTTGGGAGTACAAATAGATTCCAACCTGAAATGGATAGACCATATAAATAGCATGTGTAGTAAACATAGTAAGACAGTTTTTACTATCAGAAGAATTGAAAAAATAGTAAATCAAAGTTCGACACTCGCAACATATCATACACTTTTTCATTCAGTCCTTAGGCATGGTATGATCAATTGAAATAATGCATCAAAGGTACATCCTAATAGAATATTTGTCATTCAAAAATCTGCAGTAAGAAGCATAATCTCTGCCTATTATGATGAAGTATCGACCAATATTTGTAAAACTTAAAATAATGACCCTTTACTCAGTTATCGTCTAACAAAACTTGATGAATAAGGTTGCTTACAAGGATATACATCAACATGATACAAGAAATAAATCAAACCTTGTTCCTACAGCTAATAGGTTGAAAAAAACAGATAATATAGAAATTAAGCGTTATTNGTTGAGATAACTTTTTCATGGGGTGATCAATTACTATGATTGTAAGAATAAGTAACTGAAAAACTAACACTGAAAAATAATATGTCGAGGCGAGAATTCCTTCTCTGTGCTGTTCCAATTGGTATTGGAAATACTATATCTGGGAGTAGCTTTCATCTACCTCAGGTGTAACCACGTATGTAGCTTTTCAACAGAGCACAAATTACTATTTAATTATTCGTTCGATTAATAAATATTTGTCTTTCAGTTTGTCAATATTCTTATAGATAGCCAAGCTGTAATGAAACAAAGTGGTTTAACTCCAGCTACAAATCCGCTAAAATATCTATCCAGAGTATAGTATTTACGAAGTCAATGCGAATAGCTAAATGAAAGACTAATGTACTGGATCTGATAAATGTACTAGTTAATCCATTTAAAACTTCCCATATAAAAGTAAGACCTTGTGTGTATTTTCACGACGCCCATGCCATAGAAAAGAACTGCTGACGTTCGGTAACTATTCAGTTTTTATGCCATTCTGATTGACTTCGTATATATATATGAATTAGATAAATCTTTAACAACGATATGCTTATTTGCTATTGCAAGCGTTCTAGTAATTATTTCATTTGGGCCGTTACCAGTATTCATTCAACTCAAGTGGAAATCTTTTATGCACTGTCTGTCTCTCTGAGTTGAAAAGTAAGGTTTCTAGTGGTAATAATTGAACATATTACAGGTATGGTTTCTCAGGTAAACAGTATTTTGAAGCAAACCGACATAAGGACCATGTTCTTCAAATCCCAGAGCGACAATGACTTTGTTATACCAAGTTCCCAAGCACCACAGATAATGTTACCCACAATAGAAGAAAAGAGCACGTTTGGTTCTCGAGAACTGTTCACGGAATTGTCAAACGTCTTATCTATAGAAATGACCAACATCACAAAACCATGCAAACTTTGTCCCAAGCAAATTGACTGTTCAAAAAGTAAGATTGTTCCCAGGCCTCCAGTCAGCCTCAACTGGATTGAGCTTGACGACTGTGTGTTTTCCTCGGTAACCTTGGAAGATCTCAAATCCTTCACGAAATCTTTCGATAAAACTGATGAAGAGTTTGATTTTGAAGATACTATAGATTTCAGTAGAGTTACTACTCCAAAACCGGAGGCTATAGAATTGGAAGATCTAATCGACCAAAGTATACTGACGGATATTTTTGAAAAGTCTTGCAGTTTCCAAGCACCCAAAACCCTGAATAACCTGCTCAACAAATACAGTACGTCCATTATCGACGTAGAGCCTGCGACTCAAAGAAAAACTCAGGAAACGGAGATTAAGGGAAAGCCTGAAGATGTAGCCAAACATAAGAAAACGCCTGATTTGTTCGAAGACACTTTCAGACAAGGTGATAGCATTGAAGAACTGCTGAGTTTCTTCAAACTGAAATCGCTGGACGAAATTTTCGATGTTGGAGTTGACCCGGGTAGCAGCCAGGCTACTATCATTTACTCTCCGGATATTTTTATGGAAAGCCCAGTTCTGGGGAGTAGGAATAGCGATAGAGCAAGCACACCACCTGTTGTGGAAATAATAAGCAGTGATGAGGGTTCTCCTATTATCGGTACCTTCCATGTGAAGAAGAGGAGTAAAAAACCTGCTAGTAATCTCGAGGTGTCAAAACTGAACGTTGAAAACATGACAGGTGTAGACTCGCCATCAAACTTTTCTTTGAACACTACCAAACTATGTAGTACTCCTAAGATCATGCGTCATAACATAGAAGTTACAAGAAAACGTCTTGAGTCATGCCTTACTCCAACATCACGTGTAGAAAACGGTTACTTCAAATCTGGGGATGCCAAAATACCCGAAAATTCTTGTACGCCAGGGAGCAGCACTGCGTCAACTTCCAATCCGACACCCAAAATAGAAATCGACGATTTGTGTGACTTTTCATTTTTTGGGTTGTCCACAGCCAAAATCGATGAAGAAGTATTCATCACTCCACAGCAAAAAGATAATTCGAAAAGTTCTCCTAGTTTCTCAGAAGTTATCAAGCTGTCGGATAGTTATGGCTTGTCAGACTTTTGTGAAATGTCTGTAATAGAAAATTTGCCCAGCAATCCCAGAAACAACGCATTACTTACACGAACAAATCCTGAACCTGTTCAAAATACACAAAAACCTTGTTCGCCCTCGCAAGTATCCATTACCCAAATGATTTCGCTTGTGAATAGAGAAGACGCAGTCTCGCGGACGAAAAAGTCATCCGAGAGTTCGTGTTCAGTTAATAAAGGTGATGTTTCGAAATACAAGAAATCCACTTCTCAGAAAGAAAACAATCATGTCAGTAATATTCTAGACGACTCCGAAGTTTTCAATTTCAGCTTCAACAGTAAAAAACCCGCGCCCAAAAAAACCCGAAAACTAAGTAGCGTCACTAGGAAGGCACCTCCCAAAAGCAGCGACATCTCCAGCCTAGAAATAGAAGCAGAGAAGTCTATCGAAAGCTTGGCTTCGAATCAGAGTCAGAGTGATGACGAGTTTGAGAAGCCCTCCAGTCCTGTGTGGGTTAGGCCCAAGCCCTTAAAAGCACCCAGAGCTAATTATAATAAGAGAACAGGTACAGTTTCTTCTCGTAATGATAGGGTTAAGGAGGTAGTTCAGAAGCGCAAATGCGAATTTATTGACAATGAAGCAGAGTTGTCGTTTTGTGAGGAGACGAACGTTTCTGGAGATGAAGAAGAGGAAATGGGTGATTGCTACGATGCTAGTTTTGTGGCAGATGAAACGTACCATGTTGATACCCAGATGCACGCAAAGTACCTGCAGTCTGTAAGGTAGGTCCAAATATGATTATTGAAACATGATAAGTTTTTTTTTTCTATTTGACCATTTTACATACGGTTGTACATTTATGTCAAGTCACAATTACAGAAATCCTTGATCAGAGATAAAATTCATCTACTATGAAATATAAGTAAAGAATATAAGTATAAATAAAATCATCATAAATATAAAACTTTTGAAATATGTCGCTAAAATTGAAATGTAGGTATGTTGATTTAATGAGGCCTTTGGTAAGTTAAGATCCCGCCACGTCTATATATTCCTCTATATTATAGAAACAGTGTTGAAGGAGAAAGCTTTTGATATTAAATTTAGTGAGGTTGAGTTCAATAAACTTACGAACCTCGTTTCATATGCATGATTTTCACCATGTCTTTCAAATTTGTCAACATTTCATGGATCTCCAGTAACACTTTATAGACATACAGTGTTGGAAGTGGCATAAAGCCGAGTTGAATAAAAAGAGGACGACAATGATCTTTGTAACCTGCTTTAGCTAGAATTCTTATGGCCTTTTTCTGGCACCTAAAAACACTCATCGAGTTACTTGAATGACCAGATGAGAATACCATAACAAATAACTGAGTGAAATAATCCGTAGTAGGCTCTTTTCAGCGTCATCAAGGTGACCACATCGTTCAGTCGCCTCAAAACGAACAAAACAGTAGAAACTTTGCTGAACATAGCTTTAATATGATCAGACCAGCTCAATCTATGATCAATAGTGAACCCTAAAAACTTAACACTTTTAGATTGGGGAATATTGTGATTGGAAGATACGATTATATTTTGAGTTATATCTTTATTCAAGGTAAGTTTGTTAGCAGCAAACCAATTGTAAGTTAATGTTTTGCTATCTTTCATCATCAGTTGTAAGCTAGTAAAACTTTACTAGAGCACATTAAAGTTGTATCATCTGCAAACAAGATACATCCTGCTGGTTTCATGAGACTGGATATGTCATTGATGTAGATCAAGAACATTAGTGGATCTAAAACGAATCCCTGAAGAACACCATGCTTCATTTCTTTGAGGTCTGACTTTACATTGTTCACTTCAACAAATTGGTACCGATTTGTTAGATAAGATTGGACGAGCTTGAGAGCTGTGCCCCGGACACCATAGTAGCTCATTTTGTCAATCAAAATACTATTCGATACACAAGTAATATGTCTTTCAGATATAATTCAACATCCAGCGTGGTATTAGCCAGGGAAGTAGTTGTTTTTCGTCAGGCAATTATCAGAACCTACGGTGTAGGTAGTTGTGAGAGATGAATATTTCAAAGTATTCATTTTTATATATTATTATTTCTGGTCCACGCTAATGATCTTTCTTAAATTATGACAAATTTTATGTTGTGAGACGTCTGCTACCAACGTATCAGCAGTAGTTTAAAGTACCAATCCAAATAGGTAGTTATGAAAATGTTTGTGTCAATATTGTTTTGTCATTTCTTTGGGAAAAATCCAAGTAGATTTAATATTGGCCAATTCACGTTTTCATTCTGATAATGATGGTAGTTCGAATATATCTTGTAAACTTCTATGATTCTTTCCTTGAGTCAGGTTTTACCAAACAGGATGAAATTCCCTTAAAATCATTACAACAACACGTAATCTCTATATTTTGACGTGTTAATGTATTTGTGGATGTAAAACGAAATATGGAATAAAAAATTTCATGGGCAAAATGCAATGTAAATAGGTAGTTCAAACTACCGTTATGCTTATAGCAAGAAATACAGAAGAAATGCTGATTATGAAAATGTTCGTGTCAATAATGTTTGGTCATTTCTTTGAATAAAATCCAAATAGTTTTCATATTCGTCGGTTTATTATTTTCAGTTTGATAATGATGGTAGTTCAAATATATCTTGCAAACTTCTGTCTTTTTCCTAAGAGTCCGGTTTTACCAAAAAGATTCAGACTTCCTAAAAATCGTCACATCTGCATGTAACATCTATATTTTGCCGTGTTAATGCTATTTGTGGATGTGAAACGAAAGAATGAATAAAAAACTTCATGGACAAAATGCAATGCAAATAGGTAGTTCAAACTACCGTAATGCTAGCATAAAAAAATACAGAAGAAATGCTGATTATGATAATGTTTATTGAAATATTGTTTGGTCATTTCTTTGAATAAATTCTAAATAGTTTGCATATAGGTCAATTTTCTAGTTTTCATTTTGATAATGATGGTAGTTCAGATATAATCTTGCAAGCTTCTGTTTTTTTTTCAGGAGTCCGGTTTTACCAAACAGGTTTAGACTCCCTAAAAATCGTCACATCAACGTGTATTCTCAAGAAGTTCGCGAGGAAGAGGACACATATTTAGATGTAAGTTTTATCCTTCACTGAGGCAAGTTTTTCATAATTATTTTCACAGGATTCCTTTGTTGTTAATGAAGAGACCATAGCGAGTCAAAAGGAGTTGTCCCAATTGGAAATACTAGAAAAAGAACTAGAAATGCAGAGGAAGCGAAGAAAAAATGGGAAAGATATTGCAAATCCTAAGAAACGCAGAAGAATAATTGTTAATAGTGATAGTGAATAAATCAAAAAAATTTATTGCTGTTAATATCACCATATTTTTGAAATGATTGTTATGTATATTTATGTATATTTGTAAAAGCAGCCTTTAGGCCGCTATTTTACTTTGTTTATATTTGAGAGAGTATTTTTATAAGAGTAAAGAAAACAAAAGAAATATTTTCAACAATTTTTTGTACTTTATAACAATAGAAACAATATTTAACAAAACTTTTCCTGGCAAAAAAAAATATGCAAAGGGGTGTCCAGAAAATATGCATCTAAGTGCAACAGCAAACAAATACCACGATTATCCTTCATTATCTTTAATTTATTTCAACAAAACACTTGATGCTTTTCCAGCTTTTCAAGAAGTTTCGAAATTTAGAGTTTCGAATATTTTCTTCAGTTGCCTGTGAAAGAAAGGGCACTTGCCCCCTCAAAGAAAAAAATAATTGTGAGCAAAGGTGAAGCAGGTCGCGACTTACAGATACAAGCAATATTTTATGGACATCCCCAAACAATTTTTCTAAGTTTTAACGTAACTATACAATTCTCTAAAAGTTGCAACATAAATATTTGTAACCATTGTACATAATTTCTAGAAATATAATATATACCTAAAAACAGGTAAAATAATATCAACTTGTACAAGCAAAATCTCAAAAAAGATTAAAAAAATAAATTCCTTTCAGTTAGAAATTAAAAAGTTGAACAAAACCCACTGCGGAGAACCATTAGTATTTAAGACAAAAACAAAAAACTCAACCACAACTGAAACTATTTACAACTGAAAAGTATTCAAATTGATGTTTCAAATGTTGGGTTTTAATTTTTAATGGGATTTGTTTCTAATTAACATATTGGCAACAGCGCCTATATCAAGTTGAAATAATTTATACGTACCTAGATATTCTACTTTAAAAAAGGAAAGTTATCTTTATAAATCCACAATTAGGGCAAAATATAAATTAACGTTCAATACCACCTCCACAAGCCACATAAACAACAGTTGTTTTGTTATTTATTTATATAGAGGAAGATAGGTTAGGGTGCACAAAATGTCATATGTCACAGAATGTCTCGGAACATAAGTAAACAGATTCATTGTCCTTTATTAGCTATAACCGATGTTGCCAAATGATAAAATAGAAACGAATCCCTTTAAATGTGGAATGCATTATTTCATTCATCTTTTTTAAATATTTAAATAATTTTTTAAAGAAAAAGGTTGGAATGATAAGTTTAAAATGCGTTGTTTTAGAGCTCTTTTGTGAAAACTACTTGATTTTCGTCAGGAGGAACATTCCCCATTAGCTGAAGTGAAAAGACCTAATCTCATAGATGGAACAGTAAAAATGTCGAGCTGACAACTTGCAGAATTGCATTTGACACACATGTTATGCAGAGGTAAACGTTTCAGAATATTTGTAGGTCGTGTTGGCAGATAAAAAGGATTGACCACTCCATGAGGTTGGTCTAGGTACATCGAAATTCAGTTTTTGCAGAACATGTGGGCCAATAATTAAATTATCAATCAGTTGAGTAAAAGCTTGTGAAACTGAAATATTCCATACCTTTAGACTTTCCAGGCATTGGTCCCCATCGGAAGTATTGATTTCAGTAAGCAGGCTGTTTGACCTCTCCAACTCTGCGTACAATCCAAACGGTATCTTCGCCAGACACTCCAGCTTCATGATGTGCATTTTGGAGCGCAAGTGTTTAGCTAGATGACCGTGTATTCTGAACGCTATGTTGCAGTCGGAACATTTGAAGGGCCGTGGTTCAGACGATGATAAAGCGGGTGAAGATGATAACTGCAACGAATGTTTTTGATTAGTTTTTCAAACTGGAAAACGTCCGAAAATTGTTTCTGTGAAAAAATCAGCTTAAAGTAAGACCCGATTGAAAACAATAGTTAGGGTTGGTAGTTTGTCTTTGTTGAATTTCTGATAAGTGAATCTGATACATTAAATTATTCTTGTTGAAAGTAATTATGATTAGCAAAAGTTCATACTTCATGGACGGAAAAGTCTCGGACCTAATACATAGATGGCGCTAGTGTTATTGCATTCGACGCTTTTTCAGTTAGTACTAACCTTCAAAAGAAAGCTGTTAAAATTTCATGATATTCTATTCATAAGTTCCTCAGTTATCGTGCTAAGAGTGACACTTCTTTTTCTATTTTCAAAACAATGGATCAAAAACAATTTCGTGTTTTAATTTTACACTGCTTTTTGGTGGGAAAAAATGCCGTTCAAGTTAAGCAATGGCTTGAAAAGTGTTATAAGGACTCCGCTCCATCAGAAGCAACAGTTAGTTGTTGGTTTTCTGACTTCCAACGTGGTCATAGAGACACCGATGATGCAGAACGCAGTGGGTCTTCCAAATGATGCAGTAACACCAGAAAACATAAAAAATCCACGAAATCGTTATGAATGATCAAAAAGTGAAGTTGCGTGAGTTGGCTGACATTGTAACGATATCAAAAGAACGCGTTGCATGAGCATTTGTCTATGAGAAAGGCCTATTCAAAGTGGATGACTTGATGATTCTGAGCAGTGTTTGGCCATGTTTACACATAAGAAATCAGAATTTTTCCGTCGATATGTGACAATGNTTCAACATATTCAAATCATCTTCTAGAAGAAAATCATATCTTCAACGAAGAGTTCGAAATTTTGTACATAGTAAATAAAGGTTTGAAACTGAATTATTTGGAAGCAATGGAAATTAATAAACTTAAAAATTCAAACATCCTAATGAATGACCAACTGGATTTGAATAGATCATCATTATTGAACTTGTTTTTTTAAAAACCGAGAAAGATTTGTAGATGTGAGGTAATATGCTCCAGGTGATCATAATTGAACAGGTACTTTAAGTAGAGGTTCGAGTAATTGTTTGGAGATAGTCTCAATAATGGTTACCTGTAGTATATAATATACCTGATATGTAGTTATCAAGTCATATCATTTTTATAGGTCTAAGAAAAGATACCTACAGAGGTACTCATTTTGTTAAGAAAACAATGTTACATTTTTTGCCTACTAAAAATATGTTACAAAACAAGTAACACTAAAAATAATCACCTAGTTCAAGACTAACAACTTTGTCATTGTTAACTGATCATGTCACTAGTACAACAACATTATTATTACCTTATTACGATGACTAGCGCTTCTTTCATGTTTCTGAAGATGACCCTTTGTTCGAAAACTAACCGAGCAGGATTCGCACCGAAAACGCCTCTCCAGGTAATGAATATTCATATGAAGCCTGAAACAGAAAATAACAATAGTCGAACAATCGCACTGGAACTTTCTCCGACAAACTCACCTGAGCTGGGAAGGTTTACTGAAACTCTTCGCACAAATAGTGCAACTCTTGTCTCCCTCCGACTTGACGATGATGTCGTTAACGTCCTTGTTCACGGGACCGTAGCTGGCCTGCTCCCTGCATCCGTCAGCTGTTTCGTTCTTCGTCGCTTAATATTAAATCCTCGATTTTGTCGATTATCTGACGATTTAATTGAAATCAAATTTGATTGAGGCCTTCCCAGAGTTTTAATAATGTGAAATTTATTATCATAAGATAAAGACTTAACAGTGAAAACTTGAAAACACCTTGAAATTGAAAGAAAACACTTGAAAAACACATTAAAAATATTACCAAAAGAGCACTGCTATAATATAATACTGCCTGTTTTATACACAAATAACAAATATTATCAAGAAACACTAAAACGATTTACCGGAATATTTTTTAGTCCCGGTCCGTCACGGTATCCCGTCCGAATAATTAAATAAAAAACAAACGCAATCATACACTAACGGAGACCAACTGGAGGCTAGCCTCCTCTGACGCTATAATTTCTGCAACTGAAATTACAAATCGGGACGTATGTCGCTGGTTGGATCGGTCTCGTGGAGCCTGTGTGTTTTTAAGCGGTCGGAGGCTTGGCTCCCTTACAACGTATGGCATTTATTATTTCGGGTTGATAATTTATTCGTTCATGGGCGGTGCGTTTGAGTTTTGTTGATGCCGCATACAGTGTGGTACGTACTACGTAGTGAGTGATAGTGTTTTTTCGGGCAAATTATGTATTTATATTAAAAATTAATGGTAAAGTAATGATACCCAAGCATTTTTAGAAAAAAATAATCATAATTATTTGTGAATATCTTTTAATTTATTGCAATGAATAGCCTCAAATTTTATGGGGAGGCTACGACTCCCTTGCCTCCTCTGACGAGCCGCCGCTGATAACTAGATTTTTAGCGATATTGGCGAGCATTTCTTTCATTATTTCTTATGACAACGTAAATATTCAGATTTCATCGATAACACTTTATTTGGAATGTAGAAAATAGCAGTTATCTATGAAATACATCTGGAAAACCTGACACATCTAGCATTTTTGTTCCAAGATTATTGAAAGAAAAACAAATCGTAAGCAAGATATGATAAATTATCGATTATAATTATGAAACTTACTATTATTATTGGTTGCTTCTACAGCTTTAACGTTGAAATTCTCCTCCTTATCCTCGTTCCCCTCGAACCCATTAGGGCTGGTAGGAACCGTCTTCTGCAAGGTGTTATAAATTTCATTGGCGACGTTCTTTTGCATCTCCGCAACTTTGACGTTCTTCAGAATCCTCTCTTCTACCCCGTTCACGATTTTGTCATGTGCTGTGGTCATTGACAGATCCATAACCCCATCACTTCGCTGGACTTTGTTTTTGAAAACGATTTCCGAGGAAAACTTGCGTTTCCTCAGCTCGCTCACGCTCTCCGTAGTAATGATGACGTCGTTGACCTTCAGGGTAGGTAAAGCTCGATTGAGGTTAGGAACTGCGTTTTTCTTGTTGTTCAAGATGACGGCTTCGGAGGGTTGGTAGCTGTCCGTTTTTCTCGGTGGAAGTGGTAGGGCTTCGGATAACTTCGGTGACAGCTGACAGTTCGACAGGTACCTCTGAATGACGTGGAACTGCTTGATAGACTTTGGTTCTGGACTAACTGAAGAATCGGAAGCCTGACTCTCCCCCTCGGAAGGTTTCGGAGAAGCCGGTACGTTCTTTTCAGGTGGGAATACGGAAGTATAAGGGTAAGTCAACGGTCTGCTAACGCAGCCGGTACCCAGAAAATTCCTTACGTTCTTGGTCTCTGTCGTTTCCTCGCTCAGAGAGAGAAGATGCATATCGTTGAGTTTCTTGGACCTGAAACCGAAATTTCGTTCATCCAGGATCTTGTTTTTGGCGTAGTTCGTTTTGGAAACATGCGCAATTTCTTCTGGGGTCATGAGCAACTCGTTGGGGCTTGAACTGCGTAGGTGGGCAAGATCAGAGTCGCAGTGTCCGCTGCCACTCTGAGCGGGTTTTTGCGACAACGATAGAAGACCGTAGGCCGCTTCGTGTTCTTGTTGCCTCGTCGATTCGTCTGAAAAGGTTGATACTGTATAAAGGAAAAACAGACAATATTACTTGGTGTTTCTACATAAAATTTTCGTTGTCCATTAAACTATTTGTGAATTCCACAGCGAAAGTATCAAAATGATACACCAATATCTAATTATGAATGAACTGACCCGTTGCTTAATGAAAATTAATAACACTATCCATGATAATAACTTGTTATATATTTTTTTTATCGACTTTTATTGGGTAATTGTTACCTTCCACAATGTTTTACGTTTCGGAGGCCAAAAACTTCTTTGACATCTGTCGAAGAAGTAAAGAAATAAGCTATCAAAAAAGGAATAACTGCGAATTTATTCGAATTTTTTATCCATTTCTGAAGACGGAGGCAGATTTTGGCCTCCGAAACGTAAAAGATTGTGGAAGGTAACAATTACCCAAAAAAAGTCGATAAAAAAACTGATTTTTTCCTCCACAAAAAATGACTTTCATTGAATATTGTTATATATGTCTCTGAATCCCCTATATAAAGGATTTCTAGGATAAAGACGTTACCTCCTTTTATATTCGACTACTTATTTGGGCTATGTTAAATTGTATGATTGGAAGTTAGTAATGAATAATTCTCCAGTCAAATTACTTGGTAGTTTCATTATTTAGTTTGCTAATTCACGTTGACTATTAAACAGAACATAATTGAACAATTTTCACAATCACTTTTTATTTCTTAGACGCGTTTCGCTAACATCGTAGCTTCTTTGGTACCGAGGAAGCTATGGTGCTAGCCGAGGCTTCTTTGGTACCGAGGAAGCTACGATGTTAACTAACCGCGTTTAGCTTCTTTGGTACCGAGGAAGCTAGGGTGTTAGCGAAACGCGTTTACCTTCTTCAGTACTGAGGAAGCTACGGTGTTAGCGAAAAGCGTCTAGCTTCTTCGGTACCGAGGAAGCGAAACGCGTTTACCTTCTTTGGTACTGGGGAAGCTACGGTGTTAGCAAAACGCATCTACCTTCTCTCGTAGGAAGCTACGGTGTTAGCGAAAAGCGTCTAGCTTCTTCGGTACCGAGGAAGCGAAACGCGTTTACCTTCTTTGTTACTGAGGAAGCTACGGTGTTAGCGAAACGCTCCTAGCTTCTTTGGTACCGAGGAAGCGAAACGCGTTTATCTTCTTTGGTACTGGGGAAGCTACGGTGTTAGCAAAACGCATCTACCTTCTCTCGTACCGAGGAAGCTACACTGTTAACGAAACGCGTCTAGCTTCTTTGGTACCGAGAAAGCTACGGTGTTAGTGGAACGCGTCAAACCTCTTTGATACCAAGGCTTCTTTGGTACCGAGGGACCTACGGTGTTAGCGAAATGCGTCTACCTTCTTTGGTACCAAGGAAGTTACGGTGTTAACGAAATGCGTCTAGCTTTTTTGGAACCGTGGAAGCCATGGTGTTAGCAAAACGCGTTTACCTTCTTTGCTACTGAGAAAGCTACAGTTTTAGCGAAACACGTCTAGCTTCTTTGATACCGAGGAAGCTACGATATTAGCGAAACGCGTCTACCTTCTTTGGTACCGAGGAAGATGCGGTGTTAGTGAAACGCTTCTAGCTTCTTTGGTACCGAGACTTCTTTGGTACTGAGGAAGCTACGGTGTTAGCAAAACGCGTCTAAAAATAAAAAATGTTCATGAACATTGTTCAATTATCATCATGGACACCAATATCTGTTATGTTTAACACCATTGTGTATTAGTAACAATAAAAAGTTGATATTATTTTTATCATCCAAAGAGTAAACTTGTTCACAATGTTTGGACGAATATACATCTTTAAAAGAGAAGGCAAAGGCTAAACATTGAATGTAAATTAACCTTGAAATCAGTGAATTCTTCAAACCTTCTAAAAATAACCTAGAATATGGTTGAAACATAATGTATACTCTACGTCTATAATACATTTATTATTCCTCAAGCTTTGTCAACAGCTGTATACTTATGACAGTAAAACGTACTTATTATTGATCTACTACTTTAATTTCATATTACCCATCATCACCTTTAATTTAATTTTATGTGTTGTTCGCCGGAAAAAGGTACATAGTGTGACAAAAAATGAGTTTTGACTTAACAATGGTCTTGGACGACACTCTCTTTAACGTGAACTTCGTCAAACTTGCAAAAAAATGTTTACACCTTTATTTGGTAATCGTATGTTCAGAACCATTCGCTGAAAAAAGGTACAGGTACGACAGACTCTTTCAAGTTCTACAATTCTGATGCGATAACTATTCGGTTGTGTATCATTCAAATTCACCTCAAACTCAGCCTACTCCGTCTCACAATTTTCTGATGTTATATTCGAGCCAGAACTTGCAGAAGATTCATCTTCATTACATATCGCATCGTATATCCGATTAACCGCTTTTAACTCTTTATTCTGTTGATTCTTTTTGAAATTGTCACTCGCGTTTATTTCAATAAAACAGAATTCATTAAAATGATAATTCACGATGAAATTCTCGTGAAAATTACGAAACTGAAAGAAAACATTTGTGGTGATAAGATAGAAAACCCAGAAACGAAAAGTTTACATTAAAAAGATGCATTGTAGCCCAATCACAGACTCGATAACCGAAAGAAAACATTTGTGGTGATAAGATAGAAAACCCAGAAACGAAAAGTTTACATTAAAAAAATGCATTGTAGCCCAATCACAGACTCGATAACCGAAGCTACTGTCACACTATAACGAGAATAAATATCGCAGATTGAAAGAATGATGTCACAGATACCCAGACCAATGATATCAAGACCTTACATCCCACTGAAGGCGTGTACATTGGAAACTTCGAACGTGTTTTTCTCGAAAACTTGTTTTTCGTACACTATAAACCTTTCTTCGGCAAACACCACATATAATGTTAGACTATTCAATTATTTAGTTTCTGATCTAGTATCTGATCGAGTTCAAGTCCTGAGTCACTGAATATTGAATAACTTTCCTTGCGTACTCTGTTATTCTGAATACTGATTGATCTTTTCGACAGGAGCACACAGATGAAAATTTTGTAGTGTAACAATCTTCGAAACAGTTTCAGTTGATGTGTCCCTATGAGATGAAATTTCAAGAGAAAAATATTTACCACTGCTATCCATTCCGCTGTCATCCGTGTCGGAATCTGAACTGTGAACGCTCTGTTGTGTCGACGAGGAAGACCCACTGCTAGCAGTGGAATTCTTTGAATGTGCTTTGCTTTTCATGTGTTTTGTTAGGTTACCTTTCGTTTTGAAGCTAAAATGAAAGAAAACTTGGAGTTTATTTTTTGAAGGACAGTTTCCAATCAGCTGTGTATAAGATTTTTTAGGGTTACTACTATTACAGCACTCCTACAAGTTCAATAAGAAAATTACCTGAAATTGCAATGACTGCAAGTGTAAGGCCTATCATTGGAATGAGTTCTGATGTGTTTCTTTAGCATCGACGGTTTTTTACACCTTATTCCACATTGGTCGCAAACATACCTCCCCCTACCTGAAAAACAATTGGTTTCTTATATGGAGAATAAAAACATTCGAATATGTTGCAATAAATATCAAATGTTCTCAATGAAAGAGATTTTGAAAAGTAATTTAATCCATACAGGCTTAGGTCTGATCGTTTATACGAGGTGAATGTTCAAATTTCGCGGGCTACGCGATTCCCAAGTTTTGCTCACTGTTTTCATCAGTCAGGAGTCCTTACCACATGGTCATACGGTCAATAATGAAGTTGAGCTTAGAAGGTCTCTCAATGTTTAGAAGACTGGTTTATAACTGAAACCCGATTGTCCACGAATTATTCTGTATTTGTAGATCCTGAGTATAGGCAGCATTGTTACAAGAAAATCAAACGATGGAAGAACTGCCTGTGATTTGTACTTTTTCAAGGGTCTGGCTGATTGGGTATGGAGTTTTCAAAATTTTCGTATTGTACTTGGAAGATTACTCGAATTGTAATGGGTGATACATGGCTAGGAGGCTTTGTAATTTGTTTATTGTTATTTATGCTAATTCATCTTACTTTTTAAACAACATAGATAGGTAATTTCTTAATAAAAAAATTTCGAAATCATGCCTCAGCCACCGTATTCACCAGATTTGCCCCCCAGAATCGCCGAGAGAGCTCAAGAACATACCAAAAAGTGCATACCGGAACTACTTCGAGTATTGAAAAAAAGGCTGGCACAAGTGTATTGTATCTGAGAGGGATTACTTTGATGGGAACGAAATAGAAATTGATGAATAAATCTTTATCGAGAAAAATGAAAATTCACCTCATTTTTCGAACAGACCACGTACATAATAATCCAGTCATTTTAGGTTTCTTAAACCTCAATCTGCGGAAAATTCCTACTGAGCTGAATTTTGGTATACACCTTCATTATGGCGTTTTAATGAAGATGTGAAAAATCGACATTGATATCGTGCCGGCTAAAAAAGTTATAAGGGTCAAAAGGTCACGAAAATCAGTTTTTCGCGAACATCTCGCGACCTATGGCTCGGAGGTCAACAAAGGTATGTATAAAAATTATTCATCATACGATTATCTACAAAAAATGTCTCCTGCATTTTTCTGTAAAGTCAACCGTTTTCGGACTAGAGCGCTGAGAAAGCGAGTAGAATGCTCTCGCATAGGGTATATATACATACAGGCTGATTCACGGTGGATGGCACATTAGACGTTTCTGGTGAACCAGACAACGGATCACTTTGAAAATTTAATGGAGGGCATATTCGGACATTCTCTAGCCAANGTTGTTTTTTGGTGGTTCGTCGCCTTTTTCAGGATTCGTTGATGAAGTTTCAGATATCATGAACTAGAAACGAAATCCTAATATTAATGGAATGATTTTAAATTGATACAAAACGTGAAAACAAATGACCTAATTTTGTGTTTCCAATGATATAACTTGAGATGAGACTGGGTTCATCAACAATGAATTAACAAGAAATATACACGATTATTCAAGTCCGAGTGTCTGTATAGAAATCTGGTATACAGTGAGAGATGAAGAGTATGTTAAATTGTGGCAAAGTTGCTTTTTCTGGAGTACTTATTGAACAACACAAAAAATCAACTCTACCTTTTTTGGGTTCATAAACTTACGGGAAGAAACGAAAATTATATTCTATTTTTAGCAGCATCTTCGTCATGCATATATAAAGTGTTTCAAAAGTTTTGTCCGTTGTTCTCTATACATTAATTTTCTCTGCGAATTCGAATTGAAACAGCCGAAACAGCTCCAAAAATCGACCAGGCATTTGGCATTGATAATGTTAATGAAAGCACTGCTTGCCGTTTCGCTTGCGAAATTTCGTTCCGGAGCCTCGAAGATGAGCCCTATAGGGGGTCGACCGCCATAACACGCACAAATGGTGCGTGGTATGGCGGAAGCACCGGGCGTCAGCTCTCATGCGATTTTTGATAATAATAATAATAATACTCTTTATTTGAAATAGGAAAATCCTAATATTTTTGTTACAAATTTGTTACTATCCCGAAATATACAATTGAATTTGATTTCTTAAGTGATAAACTTTTACATCGCTCAACCAATCGTGATAAAACTTGACATGTGTGAGTAATTTTTCATAGAGGTTTTTAGGCTATCAACTTTTCTGTAACTTGCCATTAGATGGCGCTGTAGAACAATTTTTTGAAAGCACTGTTCTATAACGCTGCGCATGCCTAAGTTCGTTGATTCTGATTCAGTCAAAACATTGGAGCAGCAGCGATACAGCAACATAGTACTAGTATGATAGAAAATTATTTGAAATTTCAGACTCAGAGTACAATCATCGTATGCCACTACCAACATTTTGAGTGTTTTTGAGCACTTAAAATTTTCCTTAGACTGCCAAACACTGTATTAGATATCTTAGCAAAAGCTATAAATAAATCTCTCATAAATAGTATTTTTCCAGATTGCCTAAAAACTGCTGAAGTATTCCATTATTTAAAGGGAGCGATTCTAATATAACTGCCTATTTCTTTACTGCCAATCTAAAATCGTGGAAAAGTTGATGAAAAAGAGAATTCTGAATTTTCTTGACAAAAATCATATTCTTCATTCCAAACAATATGGCTTCTAAGCCTCTTTTAGAAGAACTTTACCTTCAACTGAACGTTTGTGAGGCTACAGTTGCAGTATTTTGTGATCTGACAAAAGCATTCGACTGTATTGATCACAAAATATTGCTTCGAAAACTTGAAATCTAAGGATTTGGAGGAAACATCTTGTTGTGGTTTGAGTCATGTCTAGCAGATCGTGTTCAAGTAGTGAATTTTAAAAGCTCATCTTCAGATAAAATGAGCATTGAATGCGGAGTACCTCAGGGATCTGTCCTCGGCCCTTTGCTGTTTTTATTATATATAAATGATCTGGCATATATATCGATTGAAGGCAAATTCACAAGTTTTGCTGACGACACGTCTATACTTTGGCATGGAAGAAGCACTGATGCACTAAAAATTAGGGTAGAACATGATATAGGCAAAGTTGAACAATGGTGTGATGCCAATTTATTATATTTCAATATATCAAAGACTAATATAATGTCCTTTAAATGTAACCTGGACCATATAATTCTTGAAGAACACACCATTGATCAAAAACTAGAGAACACATTTTTAGGCCTCAACATAGACAACAAATTAAAATTCGGAACGCATATTAATATACTATGCAAAAAATTATCCTCAAGTTGTTATGTGATAAGGTCTATCGCTAACTCTTTGGACTATCACTCTGCTAGAGAAGCATACTTTGCATTTTTCGAATCCCACTTGCGGTACAGAGTTTGTTTCTGGGGGAGCAGCTGTCAAAACCTAATGAGTCAAGTTTTCACAATTCAAAAAAGAGCAGTGAGATTCATTGCCAGAGCTAAAGTCCAAGATTCCTGTAAGCCCCCTTTTTTAACTCATCACATCTCAACAGTCTACTGCCCCTTTATTTTAGAAACAGTCTGCCTAATGCATAAAAAGCACAAAGATAACATCTCGAACTCAACTCAAAGTTATGCCACTCCTATCCCGTCAACAGCACAAATTAAAAACTATTCTTTATAATAGCAAAACATATTTCAATCATCTCCCGCTTTCAATCAGAAAGTTGACATGCTACAAACAGTCTCGAAAAAGATTAAAAAAACTTCTACTAGATAAAGCTTATAGTATTAACTGGTTAAGTTTGACGATAGTCTTGTCACGAAGTGTTCTGGCGATGTATTAAATCTATTGGAGCCTCTGGAGACACCCTACATTTTGTTTTATGAGAGACTAACTTTTATGCCTCTCACCAACAAACTAAACTTTTTTTCAACAGTCCACGTATACAGTAGTAATAATAATGATTTATTTAATAATTTTTGGTACATATGATGAGACAAAAAAACATATAACACAAATAGACAATTCGAAACAAATAATTAACATAGTCATAAACATAAAACTCAGACATATAAAAACTACCGACTAGCATAAACTATCATTCAAGTATTCATAGTAGAAGCATTTTTCAGTGAGGAAAGATTTGGATAAACCTTACTAGAAGTTTTTTTATTGTCATGAAGTTGGAAACATATAGACAAAGCACAATAAACAAGATTGAAATTATTTATAACTAGCAGTGACGGCTCGTTCATTGGAGAACAGGGGAGGCTTAAGTCATATAGACTATATACACAGAGAAAAGCCCGCCGGAGGCCCGAAAATTTTTATGTTGTTGCACGCTTTGCTTAATACTAAACGATTGAAAGTTGTGATGTACAGGTAATATCGGTAGTTTCATCAATTTCCCATACAAAAAAAGAAACACTTTCAATTTTCTTGCTTATATTTTCCTTAATAATTATAATTTTTTTAGATTTTTTTTATGAATATACTCAAAATGTTCAACAAAAGTTTAATTCACTAATTCGATTCTTTGATCATCAATGCTGAGGTTAGGTAATAATTTTTGAGTCTATTTGGCTGTATTTAATGAAAAGAAGGGGACTCAAAACACTACCCTGGGGAACTCCAAAATCATTTTCAATTTATCTCAAGAGAATACGTCTTTCACTCTTACCCGTTGTTTTCTGATGTTGGTCAAATAATTAGATAACCAATTGTACACTGTGCCCTCTATTCCATATATATTCAATTTAGCTAGTAGTATAGACCTATATATCAATAGTCTCAAATGCTCTTCAGAAGTCAAGGAACACGGCCACAACAAACTTATTATTATCCAGTTCAGTTTTAAATTCACTTAGAGATAGTTGCACTGATGACTCACACGAGTGCTTTTGGCGAAATCCCGATTGATTGTTGATTAAAATGTCGTTTTTTTCAACATATTCAATTAGTTGATTATAAATTGCCGTTTCTAGTACCTTGTCAATTGGAGGTAAAGCGTTGATTGGTCTGAATTCTTTAGCTTTAATAGCATTAGAACAACGCATTAGAAAAATCAAAAAGCTCAAAAATGGGTGTCCCACGATTTGAACTATCGACAGAAATTATCCTTCTTTGGGTCGGATCGTCACGTGCGATGAAAAGTGGATCCTCTACGATCACAGGAGTCATTCAGGAGTATTAAACACCGATGAACCAGGCAGGCACTTCCCAAAGACGAAAATCCACCAAAAAAAAAAACATGATTACCGTATGTTGGTCAGCGGCTGGTGTGGTTCACTATAACTTTCTACAGCCGTGCCAAACGATCACAGCAGAGTCCATTTGGGAGAAAGTCGACGAAAACTGCGATTATCCATCTAGTAGATGGGTCATCGCATATCATCATCCATATCAATTTGAATAGAATGAGGTATATTTTTAGGAAAGATTCATTTTTGGGAAAGGAAGGTTTTGGTTTTCTACTTCTCCATCTTCATACATAAAGTAGTAATTTCATGAATGGCAATGCACAATGATTAATGGCCATGTTTGCAGGCATGTTAGGCGTACACATTCTCGAACCATCAGTCTACCCTATGTCTAGTCTATGTCGTGAGTGTCCATTTAGAAAATTTGCCGTTGTTCTTGTCTATATATAGTTATTTATTCTAAGTATTTGTTACGCAATTCTACTATTCTTCTGTTTTCCATAACTGCTTGACGTTTGTTTATTATTTTAAATCTAAATCATAGTTTCTTTATCCAATTCTGAAGAGTTTTGTCACGGCAGCTCACGTTATGACTAAAAGTATTCAATTTCTTCCTTATGATTTCAATTGTAGGAATCTCATTGCTTTTGTAACAGTCGTATATTGTTTTTTAAAATGATTTTATTAGATGAACGTCTAGAGGTTTCGGTAATCACGTATCACATCGCGTCTTGCGTTCATAAGGTTTGTTTTTAACTATTTTACGTACAGTTGAGAAAGGAATTTCGGTCAAATCTGATGTTGCTTGTAATAGTTTGTTTCCCTCGAAACCAAACTTGAGATGTAGATTCTTATATACACACTCTCTGTGTTTCAATATTCAAATGCATCCGAATCTTATTCACTGGTATCTCTTTTTCGCATTGTTCACCATCGCTATTGGAATCACTACACTGGAAAAAGTTTGCGTTGTTATCACATTCGTTATTACTATTAGTACTTCTCCAAGGATACCACATTTTAAACAAATAACAAAAATTTTAAGTAATTATAACTTAAGTTATTCACCAATATTGAATTTCAACACTCAAATCGCGATCAGTTCCTGAACTGAACATTGATGGCTCGCATTCTATTCGTCACCGTAACATGACTTCAAAATTTAATTTTATGACTCTTCAGCCAATCATGAAACTCGGTTAGTAAAAATCATCCAATACGAACCACCAATTCTTCAGTCCACGTGGACTAGTTGGCAGCGGCTTTATTTCTTTGTATTGGTTGTTTTGGCCTTTGAGGGCGCCGACACTTTAAGTATGCCATTTTGTGACTGAAAGTTGCTTTTTTTCATGATCTTACACATAGAGATAATTTTTTGAAATTGATTGCTCTCTTCATTTCTTTGGAAGATGCCCACATTTTTATGTATGAAGATGGAGAAGTGAAAAGCCAAAACCTTTCTTTCCGTATCAATATATTTATGAACGAGAATGATCGTCTCACAATATCAATTGAAAAGTAACCTATTATGACTCAAGGGCCTTGACGTGGCCCGCCTAACATTTAAAATTCCGATAAATCAACACTCCAAGTTCAATGCTACATGCCAAATCAATTCATTGATAAACATACTGTCATGTTTCGATACATGATATCCTTATCTCAACAATATTTTTATGAGTGTATTATATTTTTTACAATTGCAATTCAAATTCACTGATATTATTTGATAATGTTTGATTACTCATTTACAAACACCAATCAAAAGCAAATAAGTTTTTGCATTAAAAATGAGAAAGAGGTGCTGGAACTCTAATAACGAACATTTTACTAACAGTCTATAAAATCAACCTGTCTGATTGTTTCTCTTTTATACAGTGCATTTCTTTAATGTCCCCCCCTTTATTTATTTTTTGAACAGGTCAACTCAAAAAATTGAAATTTGGGATAATGAAATTAACATATGAATACTTCATTTTGAAGTGAAATTGACAGATGAACTTTCAAGATGGCGACTGGGCGTCATCTGAGAAAAAAAATTAAATGAAAAGGGGGGTTTTGTGACACATCACTTTGAAGCTCCTGACTAATAGTTCACAACCCTAGAATATGAAGTCAATATCTTCACCTACTACAGAATGGCGTATTTTGACGTGTAGATTACGAATCAGAAAAAAAAATCGCCGCCCTTTCTTATTTCCAGAGTTACAACCGTCAAAGGTCCAACTGGCTTTATTTATGTAAAAATTTGGCATGTGTCAAATTTTGATATAAATCTAGGAAATATCTCATTGCATTTTTGATATATTTCAATGTTCCACTTCTCTCATCG